TGCACTCACAAAATTGGTTGGTAAATTCAACGAGTGGGTGCATCGACCTGGTATATCAAGTTTCTGCAATTTTTTACGGCAAATCAGTAGATTTTCGGGATGTAGATTGCTTACTTTCAATTCATGAATGAATAAAGCAACGACATGGTTGAACTTCTTTGCATGGAAAGACGTTTAAAATAACAAAATCAAGACGTATTTAATGCAATTGCATTTATATCGAGTCAATTTCTTTTCAATAATATAACGGGATTTTTACTACCGGTGATTTGGGTATTTTAGCCCCAAAATACCTTTAAATCGACTTTATCTTCTAGGAGTTCGACAGAATTTTTCCTTTCTTCGCTTAAATTATTCCGTAGCACTTTTCTTCAAGAATCTGATAAAATTTTACTTGAGGCAGATCAAAAAACTTAAATTCGATCGAATAGCTTTCTACTTTCACAATACACGGTCTCGTCAAGGTGCGTCTTTGACCTCGCAGTGTTGGATCGTGAATTCTCTTTTTATGCTGTTTGCCTATTTTGAAATCTCTGTAAATGAAAACTAAAGGGGTTGATATGTGCGAGTTAATGACGCGCCTTATCAACACATTGTGTTGGAGTTCACTGCTTGTTTTTTTTTTCTTTCTGTTTTTCCGAGTTGGTGTGTTTTCGAACTCACTAATTCATTTATGGACGACCCCTTACAAAATCGCAATCTGAGGTACGCATTTATCTTCTTCAGCTATCGAACGTAGTCTGCAGGGAAAATAAGTGTTTTATGTGGTGACTGAGCGGCATCTCCGGAGTTGGCAGCAGACGTATCAATCGAAAAAGCTCGGGAAACGTGAGAAAACGCGGTTTCTCGGAGTCGCGAACATGGGTCTCCGCCCCCTCCCATGATTATTTTTGACGCCCCGCCATAAAACACTCGTAAATTGCGTAAGGAAACCCGGGGCGCCGCGCGCGGAAAAATCCTCAGCGCTGACTCACGACTCGCTCCGTCTCATAACTAAGAATTTCATGGTTTCAAAGCAGGAACACGTGTACCCGAAGCTCGTATGAGTACACGCGAAGAAAGCTTGTTTACATCGCAGTTTTTAAAAAATTTCCACCCATTTTTCGAGGAAACCAAAACGCTTGGACTTCTTGACCCTTGCTGTAATGCCGATAATCTTACACTGGAAAGAAAAGTCGCTTGGATCTAGAGTCCAGACTCTGAATAACTTCGACAAGAAATAAATACTCTTGATTCAATTCAATTTTTCTTTGAATCGAAGAGACGAGCCTCTGATTTAGGCGTATTTCCTTTCGATTCAAGCAAAAAGTCCGATTGAATCAAGAGTATTTTTTCTTGCCTGTGTATTTAAGAGTCTGGACTCTAGATTTAATCGAAATATCGTCGATAAGTGAAGCTATTTCTTAGAACTGAAAAAGGTCAGACGGAAGTCACATCGGAAAATGTCCCTTTCCCAATACACAGAGAGTAATCTCAACACAAAAGTTTGGTTAATATTGTTAACTTGTCAATTTGGTTGACTTGGTGTCCGTTGTGAACACCCTTTTTATCGATCCTTTACCATAGGTTTAAGTGGTTGATCAATCGATATATCGCAAAGCACGCCACTAGAGTCCCTTTTTACTGAAAGTTTTCAGACAATGTGAATCTATTTCTGATTGGTTACTGTATTTTAGGCCTCCACAGTGTCACAAACGGGAATGAAGATTACATTTTCACCAATTGCAAAGATTATAATCTGGATATAATGGACCGAGGAACTACGGGTTCGACAAGGAACAAACTGAATGAGGGACGGAACGGAGAAAGAAATTTGAGCATGAGCCGATCAAAGATTACGAGAAACGTTCAGTTTGTGTGATCTTTATTCCCGTTTGTGACTCCATGAGTAAGTGTTGTCTCAACTCTCAGTTTGAAGGGACTTTAGGTTATCCGAAGTGCACAGATGGCACCGCGTAGCGACTCCGGTTCGTACGTCACGGCAAAAAGCTCGCCGGGTTGAGAACTCGGAGCCGCCGGGTCACTGGCCGGGAACAAGCTGGAACGGGGGAGGGGAGCGCGAGGGTTGCCCCTCTGTGTATGGAGTATGGTGTATGGCACCCGATACAATTTGTTGAGCACATGTATTTACTTTCGTTTACGGCTTATCGCGGCCGAGGCGTAGCCGCTATCCGGCGACAAGGTCCCCGACTCCCCGCCTCGACACAAACCACTCGAAAACCACCATCTGACCCCCATTCAACACACGCTCACCTTTGCTGCCAACTCGAGGCGAATTCTCGTAGCTTACTGTCGTGCTGAGGGCTGGATCTATCACCTCTGGTTGGATGTAGCATTTTGTCGAAGCAAAATTAAGGGGCTTGGAAGGCAAGGCGCATAAGTGCAGTTTTTTCAGAAATGCAGATATTAATTACTCCAAGTAAAACTAGTCTTAATGAATATTCTGTGAAAAATTCGCTCTTAAATTCCAATTTTTAAGCATCATAAAGTCAGTTTGAACTCTCTTTCTGCCATTAGGATCCATGTAATTTCGAAACTTCTAACACGTATTTCTCGAAATAGCAAATACTTCACTTATGCGCCTTGCCCTCCAAGCCCCTCATTATTTTCTCCCTTAGCCTTTAAGAACCACCCGTTTCAACCAATAATCTCCATCCATTTTCCTTTTGTCTTTAATGTCTATTGCTTTGCCTATCAATTTCAATAAATAGCCCGCCGGTGGGAAATTTTGGCACTAACTAATTAACAATAAGAGTCTTGACTTCCGGTTGAAGAGCAGGATATCGATCGAATCGACACTGGGATTTTTCAGTTAGGTTTCTATTGCATCGGTGCGGATCGAGCCGCTGGCAGATCATTTGTCGATCGAATCGTGTCGATGGATTCACGTTTTTACTTTTCGATGGATTCATGTTCATCCAATCCGTGCTTTCCAAAAGTTCGCCCAAGCTTCAAACCTAGCTACTGACACTGAGTCAGGCCTCCGGGCGAACATTAGGAAGATAAAAACGCCTTCAAACAGAGTCGATACTTCAAGGATGACACGCAGACACGCACCACGCACAGTAGTGGTGAGTTCGCAACCCGACCGCGCCGATCAAAGGAAAACGTACACCCCCACCCCTCCCCCTGTTGTAATTAAGTGCTAGTAAAGGAAAGTTTTCCTCCTTTATGATTTCCCGTTCTTCATTTCCTTCTGCCAATTTTCCTCGTCTAGTTTTCGGACCAATTTTCTGGAGTAATCGAGAAATTTCAGATCGGTCTCCTCGAGTTTTGAACTTGGGTCTACACTCTACACCCACTCGAGTCCCGAACAACCGCAGCTAAGCATAATTACCTACCGTAACAAATGTTGTCACCAGCTCGGTGTTGGTCTGCAAGCGGAAAGTCGCGATTTGTCAAGTCGCCAGCTTATCGCTGAACGGAGCTGTTGTTCCTCTGTCGTGCTTAATTTTGTTCATCCGCGGTGAAATAAATCACCGTTTATCCACACTAATGTGCTTTTTGAAGGGTCACGATTTTTTACAGAAAGGAGGCTTATTTTCTCCGGTGTAGTGACTCGAGGGATGGAAAGTGAAATTTCAAAGAAACCGAATGGGATTCGAGAAGTCTCAGTTTTTAATATTTCTCAAAATAAATAATGTGAAACCTTACGGAAAAGTTTCAGATGATTTTTTTGCTGATGCGACAGTGTATGCTAATTACAAATTGTAGTTATTATGGCTAAAAAGCCGAATAAGCAGGGCGCAATTTTTTTTTTTTTTTTTTTTTTTTTTTTTTTTTTTTTTAAATTAATGAAAGGGGAAAAAACTAATCGACGGAAAGAAGGCAAGAGGTGGGGGTGGAAAAATTTCTAACTCGAGTTGTCGCTATTTTTAGGCGTTTCTCGCGCAGACTCGTTAAAATTTCCTAAAATTTTCCATCTGAAAGTGACAACTTTAATTGTACTAGCTGAGTTTTATCCAGTAATTATTTTTCCTCATTTGTTTGTTGCAGGAGTTCTACTACCCTTCCTCCACCCTTCTATCAAATGGTGGCTCCGCGGAGCTAGTAGAGGATTCAGATGGAAGTAAAATAAGGACGGCCATAGAACAAGTCCAGTCTAAAATTGCCAAATACAAGGAGCTACTCCGAAATGAACAGACTGCTCGAGATGGTGAGTGTATCTTGGTGTCGCATATTTTCAGAATTTCTCACATGATTTTTTCATACATCATCGAGGGTTAATGTTATTCCTGAAAACTGTGTTTGCAGAATGTGTGAAAAAGTCAGTCAAGTCCTTGAGTTTGCAGGAATTTCAGTTGTTATCAGTATTTTATTTCAGTAACCAATGGAGAATTTGCATGCAAAATTTGTATTGCTTCATCTGAAAGTGCTGAAAGAGCTGATTTCACGGTATTTTTTATAATTTTTTTCTGATATGGGAAAAAGTATAAAAATAGATTTGAAAGTGAGAAAATGCACCGCCTAATGACGTCATCCGGCGGCATTTCCCATTTAAACACATGTATTTTAGCAGATTAGATCCTTTTGTCATATCTTCTCTAATAATGGTTCAATTCATGAACCAAGGGTATTCTCGTGTTCAGTTCACTCAGTAGTTTCCACTTAAATACTAAATTCATCAAATTTCAGACACATGCAAATTCTCTATCGAAGGCTGGGTACAGAAAGGGTATTTCTTGGCTGCAGTGTCTCAAAATCTCCACCTACGTTTCATCCATTATAATTTAAGCAAACGCAAGTAATTTTTTGCAACTTTTACTGAATATTATTTAAGATTTTACGGTGCTGAAAACGTAAGATTTCAGAAAATTCACCCAATAGTTTCCTCTCTAATTTAAAAACTTGGCCTGCAGATTCTGAATCACCACAACCAAGAAATGTCCTTGCTGCACCCAACGCCTCAATTTGTAAGATTGGCTAAATTTTCTAAGATTCTGAAAGGTGCTGTCTCCTAATCCTGTTTCGATAGTGCATATCGACGGTGTAAGTCTGCAACACATAACTCATTTGCGGTGTCTGAAAATCACCGCCTTTATGTTCTTTTTTTTAAGGAGAACAAATTGACATCATTCCTTGAAGTTTTTGCAGAATTTTCTTCGCATAGAGAAGAAAAATCACTGCAGTTTTAAAGAATAGCCGTTGAGTAGTTTTCCGTTTAAAAAATAAAGTATGATAGGAAGTCTGCAACGTCGCAAACCGAGTCATGTAATTGCCGACTTACACCGTTGATATGCTGTAAGATAATTCAAAATTTCCGAGTAAGTGAAAGAAAGTGTCCAGATGTATACTTGAAACTGACTACAAGTACTTGATTGTGAGCTTGCGGCTAAAAGAAGCAAAAATTGTTCTTGAAAATCTTTGTGTACCCTTCAATTTTTGTTTTCAAATCTTGCATCAACCATGCTCTTGCAAAAAAAAAGAAAAAAAAAACTCTACTAGAGTGGCATCTCAATTCTTTGTTTATCACACATAAATTACTCATTAAACCTGCAGAATGTATTATGAATGGATTCCAAAGGAATTTCAGTATTTTTACACAGAAGGGAGCACCAAGCCAGAAGTATCTATGAAGCATAATATCAGCTTTGAGACACTTGTCCCTTGAACTTGGCAGCAGTTTGTGCCAGGGCTGTTATTTTAATTGTACACACTCGAGATATTGCATATCTGTGGAGTTGTGAGTCATGGTAGCTGTTAACCTTGAGTAAAGCTCGTTTGCATCCTGTCTCCCAGCTGTAATTTTTAAGCTCATTCAATTATGTATGCATTATGAGGTTTCTGGATAAAAGAAGTTTAGATTTTGGAGAGATTTTAATGCTTTGCAGTATTGTCATCCAAAGTAAGAATAAAGGAACTCAATACTAGGCATTTTAATTTTTCCCCCGTCAAATTTTCTAAAACAAGACTTTCATCAAATGATAATCATTGGCCATTTTTCACGTTGACTTTGTCATTTTACTCAGAGCTCATGCTGAGAAAAGGATCCACAGAGTGAATCGGGTGTTTTTAGGGTGAAGTATTTTGTCGTAGAAGAAATTGCAAAATCTTTTAAGTTTATTAAATAATTTCCTTGTTTTGTTTCAGATAATGTAAATGAATATTTAAAATTAGCTCAAAGTGCAGAGAAGCACCAACTGTCACGGCTCAAAGGTGTTTTCGAGAAGAAAAATCAGAAGTCGGCGCAAAGTATACTTAACCTGCAAAGGAAGTTAGAAAGTTACGATAAGCGTTTACGAGATCTCCAACTTCATGGCCTGCACAGTCACCATCGGCAGCCACGTGAGGTTCTTCGTGATATGGGGCAAGGCCTCAAGTAAGAAGCACCAGAAAATAATGTTACTTAAGATTTTTTTTTTTTTCAAGATTACTCTATTTACAAGCCACGGTCTTTTCCTATTCTTTAACTATTCAAAAAAAGGCATCTCTCATGATATTATCTATGAATATATGCCGAACACTTTTTAGCTCTGCCATCAATCAAAAATATTGTCTTCTGAATCATTTTGATGGCATTCCATTCCCATTTCCAGAGGAAAGCACAGTATATTGAATATCCACGATGAAACTACCAGACCTTGTATCTCGTTTGTAGTGTTTAAAAATCTTTGCTCCCATTTAATTCTTTTTTTTTTTTTGAAGACAAACGAATCAATATCATTTCTTGAAGTTTTCACAGGATTTTCCTCATTTAGAGAAAAAAAATCACAGAAGTTTTCAAGAATTGACGTTAAGTAGTTTTCCATTTAAAAAATAAAGTATGACAGGAAATCTGCAACATCGAAAATGGTTATACTTGGTCTGCTAGTGTCACCGGCGATATTCCTCAGATGAGTACTTCTGTAGTAGTTTTTAAGGTACTTTTGTTAAATTGCTTCGTGAAATGTTGTTTACGTTTGATTTTTACTTAATTTGTCTCTGATTATCTGCTTCTCTTTTTAGGAATGTTGGTGGCAATATTAGGGATGGAATCAGTGGTCTGTCAGGGTAAGTAAATGTAATAATTTATACCCAAACCTTGGACGCTCGAATTTTATTGAGAGACACAGCTTTTAGAATTTGTTGCCCTTAATTGGTCTTTTCATTTACAGTTTCCATGTTTCGATTCCCATTGTGACTGAACAAGGAATTATCTTAATATATATGATAATGTATCTCAATAATAATAATTTTTACAAAGAATATTGATTGAAGTGACCTGAAAGAAAAGCATACATTCATTAATGTGTGTCGACCTGAGGTATTTCTACACATGGTGGCAAAATACAGTCACTAATCATCATATCTATAGTGTCACAAATGCATCTGAATGTCTTGCTTCAATGAAATAGAAATTCTGTTTTACTGGGGGAAAATGGTTCACAGGCATTTTTTTATTTTTCTCAAAAAACATTTTTTTCAAGTACATATTGAAAAGATAGGCATCTATTTCGTTTGTTCAAAAGATTCCCAATTCAAAGGTTCAAAGATCATGCTACACCATTACTGGACCTAAAAATTTCAAAGTTTTGGTCACTGAGCTCTTTTGGAGTATTTAATAACTGGTGCCGAGAATATTTTCCACTCATCCAAAATTTTTGGCCAGATTTAGTTTTTTTTCTTGATTTTTGTTATTGTTTTTGTAAGTTGAGTATTTGTTAAAATAAACACGCTTCAATATCAGTTCAAGAATGTCTTACTTCAGTTATTTTTTCCTACAAGTTCCTACATGCAAAGTTTAGAGCTCAAACTCAACCAAAATTTCATTTTCTTATTTTGCATAAAGTAGTTAATCTCCTCCAGGAAATCCCAAAAGTAAACATGTGCCTGTGATCCATGTTATTTATGTTTATTCACTCGGTAAAAGTCATCATAACTGTACATTTCATTTTTTTTCAAGACGACATCACCATGGCAATAAATTTGACAACTCTGATTTTTTCCCACCATGTGTGTGCGGTTACACGGCAAATTGCTTGGATTTGCAAGCAGAGGTGCAGTCCATTTTACCCCTTCAAAAATTTGGTTGCATGTGTTTTGATAAAAATGCATTATTCATTAATATTTTTTATAATGTTTCTTCTCTTTTCTCTGCAGGTCTGTCATGTCCAAACCAAGGGAATTTGCACATTATTTAATTAGGAATAAATTTGGTAGTGCTGACAACATAAATTCACTGTCCAGTAAGTACCGCTTTCTAATCTAATTTAATGTTAGGACCAAGCTGGGAAAAGGACGTACTTCTACCACGCTCTTTCTTCCTTATTATTTGCTCTTTACTCAACTCTGTTGATTGGAAATCATATGCTTCAACTGGTTAGTACGGTGCAAAAACCGTTTTTCCAGTTGTGAGTTTTGCTGAATTGATAATGCTTTTCAGAATTAGATGGAACCATGAAAGTAGTGCTAATACTTGTTTCAGGGTTCTCCTAATCAGGTTATCTAAACTCTTGAAAAGTATAGCTAACATAGAAAAGCTCAAGACTGGGAAAATGGATACTTACAGTTAGTTTTTGCCTGACTTAATCCAATGGGCCCGTTGCAAACTTTTGCTAGAGCAAAAATAAGAGTTGTTACTCATAGAAAGTGTCTCAAAAATCACGATGAGCTCATCGGCAAAGACTAAAATGCACTCCTTACTTCACAATTTGCACAAGAAATGTGCGTTTTTGCGAGCTTCCCGCTTCAAAAACGATACCATGGCACAGGTGAACATTTCGTTAGAGGGGTCATTCCATCCAACCCCTGCTCACCAGGATACCACGTAATGTTCAACACAGCCGAAGCCAATCCGCCAAAACGCATGTGACGGGACGATAATTCTAACCACCTGATAACTATCGGCGTGTTTACATTCACATTTTTCTCGTTTCAATATATATCTGTCTTGATTGACCTCGTTTTCTCCTCAATATGCGCGTGGAAGCGTCGGCCATGTTGAGCAGGGATTGAATGGAATGATTTCTCTAACGAAATGTTCACCTGTGCTGTAGTGTCCTTTTAGAAGTGGGAAGCTTAAAAAAACGCAAATTTCTTACGCAGATTGTGAAGTTAGGAGTGCATTTCAGAGTTTGCCAATGCGCTCATTGTGATTTTTAAGACATTATCCATAAGGAACAACTCTTATTTTTAAGTTTGCAACATGCCCATTGCGGATAGCCTCTGTCAGCTGAAATTGAGATAGTAAAATAGCCTCTCTTTAACAAGAGCCAAAGGACTCAAATGATAAGACTAATTTGATAAAAAGTGGGTTAATCAAACTGAAAAAATGATGCATATTCAGTTAAAAAAAAATTTCAAAAAAAAAAAAGAATGGGCAATTCTGTAAACATTTGTGGCAGCATGAAAATCTGTCAGCGAAGCAAGATGGCCTTGCTGCCTAAAGTTTGATTATCCTCATCCGCACTCATACTTCATTATGCCCTTTCATGAAGGTTTCTATGATGGTTTTGAATCTTTGCAGAGTGTAATATTTTGTTTTTTATTTTGTCCAGGGAATGGAGAAAACGACTCAACAGAAGAAGAAGGAAGGACTCATCATGGAAGCGCAACTCTCCCTGGTGGCTGCAGTCTTGCCTCGGGTGGAAGCGCTGGTGCCCTGAAATTCCCCATTGGCCCAAGCGATGAAGGCAGTGAATGTAGTTCTGTCACTAGTGAAAGTATTCCTCATCCCCACTCATCTTCCCCTCATTCCAACCCCCCTCCCGCCCAAACCACCAACACCTCCACCCCTCCCCCTCCGCACTTAGAGCACGTACTGGCAGAGCTCCGTTCCCAACGAGAGGAAATTGATCGATTACGCAATAAAATAGAAAATGTAACGGTAAGTCAGTTTCAGTCTGATTGGCAGCAATTTAGACCATTCTTGTCTTGTGTTAAATGATCATCGTCTGTTTACAAGGCTATATACATACATATGTACATGCATACGAGGCTACAAAGGCTAGACTAAGTGAATCTTTTCCCCTGCTCCCTGTTAATGTCTTTTTGTGTATTTGTTCCAATAAAGCCGATAAAACATGCAAAAATCAGTGAAGAGTGTCAGAGCTATCGTTACCCAAGATCGCAACAATGGTAACAATACCTCAAGGTTGTGTCAAAAATTTCTCCAATGCTCGATTGATTCCAATGTGGACCTGCATGTTGAGTTCTCATTGTAAAACAAACGGACTAGTCAAAAATTGTCTTAAGGAGCAGCTTGACAGAAAACATGCTTAGAAAATGCTTCAATTCTGACTTTTTACCGGCCAATTCGACTTCTCATAAAGTTTTAAAAGTAAATTTTGAGTCTCTTGGTCACTGACGCATCCAGTGATCATAACCTATTTTCGTGAGTCACATTGATAATCAGCTGCATTTATTCCTCAGGAAATGGTCTCAAAAGACATTGCAACACTGAATCACGCACTGCAAGAAGAACGTTTCAAGAGCGAGCGGTTAGAAGAGCAAGTGAACGATTTGACAGAATTACATCAAAATGAGGTAGAGAATTTGAAGCAAACAGTGTCTGACATGGAAGAGAAAGTACAGTATCAAAGTGAAGAACGGTTAAGAGATATTCATGAAATGCTGGAGTCATGTCAAACAAAGGTAAGTCTGTGATGCATCCAAACTTCAAAATAGATTTTAAAGAATTTTTCAGTCTGTGCAATGAAACAAAATACTTGTAAATGATTAGTAAATATGTGAAAACCTGGAATTTTTCTGGGAAATTAATGAAATTGTTGGGGAAAAATTGAATCCCCTTTCATTTACTTCTTGCAACGTTTTAAAGTTTTGAAGAACAAATGAAGGGCCTAGAATCAAAACCTGCAATTTCCATCGCCGTGTAAAATTTGGGAATCATTTTCATTTCTCATAAGGAGCAGGTGAGTTGCTATTTGCATACTTTCTACAGAATTTTCTACTTGTTAAAGAGAAAATTCTAACAGTGTTTTATGTAAGAAGTCTTATTGATCACTCCTTTAAAAAAGTGAAATATTGGCCAAATTTTAAGACATCAAAATAGAGATTGCAGGTCTTAATCCTAGGTGCCTCAAATGTTTAGTGTTTTGGTTTGGAGGTTTGAGTTTGACAATTTTTGACCATTCCACATAGCCACGAATGTCAGGGGATTTCACAAAAATTTGGAAGGAAAATCAAAAGAATGTCATGGGATCTCATTTTAGTCATTTGTCGCACATTGTGTCTCAAGAGACCATTCAGTTTATCAATAAGAGGCCAAAAAAAATAATTATCCTAAAATCCATAATGATTGTGTTTCAGATCTCAAAAATGGAGCATCAGCAAGCTCAGCATCAGCAATACTTAACGTTAGAAGGGTTAGACAACTCCAACGCCCGCGCAGTTGTCGTCAAACTAATCAATGTGCTACTGACTGTGTTACAAGTGATACTCCTCTTGGTCGCAACCATTGCAGGCATCATCATGCCGTTCCTTCGCACACGACTGCGCGTCCTCTCAACGATCGTTGCTCTCGCAGCCTTCGTCGTAGTTGTCAAGCAGTGGCCTGAAGTAAGGAATATAACCGAATTCCTTGCAACGTACTTCAAACAGTTCCTTTCGGTCAAACAGTAACGTGGTGAGTTCCTAGTTCATGTCCGCTTTGTCAATCATAACTTTGAGAACGAAGATTTAAGTTTCAACATGCTCAATGCTATGTTGTTCAGTTTGAACTTGTTGATACATATTGTCACTATCTCTTAGCATTTAGGTAATTTAGTAATTCAGGACAACAGTTCCTGATGGTCCACGGAGGATGCTCAGAGGGTCCATAAGATGATATAGGATGGAAACTTTGCACATGTGCAAACTAGCAACTGTGACAAAAGGCATGTTTTTAGTTCCCAATTAAAAAAAAAAAAAATCCTTGATCTGGTCGAGTTAAATTGAAAACTAAACGCTACTGTGATAGTCTTAGAGTATGAAAATATGGCTACTTCAATCTCTGTTATTTGATTCAGCCTCTGCACGTTGTCTACGTTTTGAACAATGAAGGACAGAGAAAGAACACTGCTCAATTCAAAAGCTTGCCAAAACGGTTGTAGTGCATGATTCGATTAACATAGACTTTGGTTTTTCTTGTGAGCGGGAAACTCAAATTTTTTGTAACCAGTGCTGTATAAAACCATTAACATCTTGGTTAGACTTGGTTATACATTAATGACTGTTTAGGAGAGCCATAAGTATGATATTATGCGGAACTTGTAACTTATATATGATAACTCAGTCAATTGTATATTGATAGATTGTCTTTCCACTATTGTGTAAATCATTTTTTTTTTCAGATATTGTACAGATACTAAAATGAAAATGTACATGTTGAAACGTTCAGCCAATCTTTGTTTCCCGATGGAGAAGTCCCAAACCTTTTCGTAATGAAGCAATCAGCTTGTGATTTCTCCGCTCCAACTCAAAGGTACGATTATTATTTTCATATCAATGTGCTGGAAAAAAATTCCTCAATTTTAGGTGGCGCAACTAGTTTTTAATGCTATTGTGATAACAAAAAGGAAAAATTGAAGTTAATTTAATTTGCTTTTTAATTTTCCTTTAAATTGATTTTAAGTTATTCAAATTTATTTATCTTGTCAAACTCTTCTGGAATTTTGTAGCCCTTGTTGTGGGGCTGCTGTTAATTTATCATTATTGTGTTAATGAAATATTCAAGATCAAAATGAATCGTAATTCATGTTACGGTGCTTTGATGCAGTATGTTTTCACTTGCTCACAATTTCAAGTGACTGATTTTCTTGTTTATTTCCTTGCACTGGCCAATGGAGTGTTTTCTTTTTAATTGTAGTGTTGGGTTTTTTTTCTTTTTCTTTTTTTCCACACTCTTCTTTTGTGAATGAAAGACTCGGAAGCTGAAACTGCTTAATACAGTATTGCCGTACCAAGGAAGAATGCTATACAAGCTTAAAAACGTCGCCATATTTCTTCCAGTAAAAAGCGAATTTATCAGAAAAACTGAAGATATTTTTCTTCCAAATTTTCAGACAAATAGTCTGCAATAGCATGGTAGAGAAGCAATGCAAGTCTTTAATAATCTTGCAACTTTTGCTAAGCGATCAATGATCATGCTTAACCCTTTGATTTTTTTCCTACAATATATGCCACAATTCTTCTCTACAAACATCAGTTTATTCATTTTTTGTTTGTTTCGATAAGCTTTAAAAATTTACATGTATTTTTCGGCTCCTGTGCCTTTCATAAATAAACTCACTTCACCCTTGTAATGAATTGACTAGCAGTAAATAATGCAAACTGGAAGAGCTCATAGCTCTGCGACTATGCAAATTCCATTTCGTGCGTTATTTAGGTAAAAAAGTAATCTACACCATCGCTGAGAAACTTCTATGATATTTTATCTCTTTGTAAAGCAAATGTTATGAAAATTTCCAGCAAATAAAAAAGAAATCTGGAAAAAAAGGAAATAATAAAACGTTAAATGGAGGTATTTGTTTTCAAAGTTTTGACGTTAGATCCTGCCCCTCCTCTCCTTTTGAATTTATGAAAATCTATCAATTTAAGAATCTTAATTTTTCTTACTAAATTTTGGACGGATGATTTTTTTTTATTCTTTGATGTGTCACCCTCATTTATTGTCTTGGTTTCCAAATAGGATCCTCATTTATCTATTCTCATTCTCTCTATTGCCAAAATAAAAACTGGAGACTCAGTGATATCTTAGCTGCATACTTTTACTTTTAACCCATTTTGTTTGTGTTCCATCAATGACTCATGGAAGTATGTTAAATCGATTGAAGATAAGGTTTGATTCTGTTGCTTTTCATTTCCATTTTTTCTGAGTTTCCAAATCTGATAAAGTTCAAGCTTAGAAGAGTTAATTGCTTATTTTTTGGCTTACTATTTGGGTTCTATCAACCATCTTGTTTTTTTGTCTTTACTTTTTCCCCCGTTTCTTTAAAGGGAAACTTTTAAATTACACTAAATGGTCCTGGTTAAATAATGGAAAGTTCCATTAATTTTACCGAAAACCCTCTACAATTTTCCAAACAAGCTTGAAAGATTTTGTTCTTTGTTGTGAAAGTATGAAAATGTGAAGATAAATAATCTCAGAGTCCACGCCACATAAGTTCATGCACACTTAAACTACTTAAAAAGTTTCAATTGATAAATGCTTGCGAAAGAACTTTTCATATTACTCAGCAAAAAAAATAATTTGGAATTACTGAGTCGCTGCGGCTTTAAAACCCTTGTCATGACTATCAATTTTGCCAAACTTAGAATATCACATGCATATATACTAGCAAACTGCAGAATATTGCTAACATCCTAGCAAAGTACTCTCGTCTTTGAAGATCACCCATTTCACCTTTTGGAAACTGAGCGATTTTCGTAGTGAAATTTTATTTTATTTTGGTTCAACTGAACATGTTGATTCCTGAAAAAATTGTGAGTTGTTGAATATTGTTACATTCTTTGTCTCTAGTCGTGTTAAATTCTTCCCTTCCAAAATTGTTCTCTCTATTTTTTGTGAAATTTCCCCCTTTTTCTCTTCGTTTTGTAACTTGAGCACTAAAGTTGGCCCGATTGTTGCTTGTGCTAGTTGTAGTCATTCCTGCTACACTCGAATTTTGAAAACTTGTTCAAAACAAAGTTTCTGTCATAAGATCTGCTCGATAGTAATAACGTTTGTTGGGGAAAAAAAGGTTCGCAGTTCGGGCCAATTCTCACCCATGTCAAACCAAATCAATTTCTCATATAATGGAAATGTACTAAATTAGCAAGGCTGCTAATAAAAGAAGTAAAAAAGGGAAAAATGTGTTTACAGAGGCGTCTAAACTCACTATTTTGTCTCACATTTGGCAGTCTTTGCATTCACCCCTTATGGATGCTAAAAGCTGTCATCCTCTACCCATATTTGCAGATTAAATTATTTAAGATGCCTTCCCTTTTACGCACATTTTTTTTCAGAAAGAACAAAATTTAATATTTAAATAGTGAAAATGCTTGGAAATGGATCGAATTTAAAAGAAAGGAACTAAATATACCTTTTCAAAAGAGTTGATTTACGTATTCTTAAGTGGATTTAGGTATTCAAACTTAATTCAATGTATTTTGGATGACCACCACTGAAATTTCAAACCCACTATCTCTTTGGAGGTTACTTTGAAGTTCAAAAAGTTCACTTTCTAGAGCTAACGGTGGGTGCTTTAGGAACTTTTAACAAGGATTGATTCATTTAAATCAATGATGTTGTTTTTGGCAATTTATTTGGCTTTTGTTTGAAGCAGAGCCTAAAAAATCCAAAAGAAACTGAAACTCAACCGAAGTTCTACCCTATTCTGCAGCTATTCACTTTGGCTATTTTCTGTTGGATTCGATCCATGCATCTTTAAAATATTTTTAACACTGGCTCTCAAATGATTCATGGATGTCTACATTCGGGGGAAAAAATGGCTTAGCCCTTGCTAAGTGCCACTGGCTGATGAAGTATTTTAAATAAGATTTTGTAGATCTAGGTGTCAGTTGTTATTATTTAATGCTTGCTTGAATACCCACTTTTTGTAACGATAGCCAAGCTTTTATCTTGCCTTTCAAAAATGATTTGCATTTTGTATTGTATTTTTTAATTTTGTACATAATTAGGTACGGGTCAATTAATTTAATGTGTCTTGGATTGCAATGACTCATCAGAAATCACATTTAGATGCAATCAAATCACAGAACATGGTATCTTTAGAAAACCACCATGAAAAATTCTGCCCTCGACTGCTGGAAAATGACTTCTTGAATTATTTTTGAGACCCTCTGACAATTAGAAAAGATGTCTGACTAAGGAGTTTAAAGTCACTGTAAAATGTTTTCTCTCAATCAGCTATCACGCCTCTCATTACAAATAATGCTACAACAAATATTCTCTTTTCCTCCTCAAATTTCTGGTAAATTTCTTAAAGATGTTTTTTGGACTCTAATTTGTTGTAATTTTTGTCCCTTCTCTAAAGTCATGTCCAAAAAAATCTATCACTGAATAATTTTTTGAGGATTACTGTTCTAAGGAGCAGTAAGTTTCCAAGGAAGTTGCAATCGTAGTCAAAATGACTGCGAATTTAACAACAAATCATGAACAGTACGCAAAACTTACGTCAATAATACTAACTTTGCAAAAACCAAAAATGACGATCTTTTAATCTGAAGAAATACAAAACATAGACTATCATATTCTTTTAGTGTAAAATTTTATCTCAACAAAAATACTGGAAGTTTTGTAGTGTAACAAAAGAAATGAGGCGAAAAGTGTCAACACTAATTTTGAACAGTTGTATTAATATTAACGCTGGTTTCTGTATTGAAACCAGAAACAAAAGGTATCACGAAACAATGATACCAACAAAAAGCAGGAACATATTCTATTATTCTACATTTTTTCTTCAAACGTCAGGTAGTGTCTCATCCAATCCTCTCTCATTAGCCCGTGAACACTCACTAATTATTCTTGTACACCAGCTTTAACACTCTGTTTAAGCCATAGTTTTCAGTCAATTTCTGTACATAATATCTTAAAAATAATGAATTTGTGTATGTATGTACTTTATGTATTATACTTGGATTTATGTAAAAGTACCTTTTGAGTTGCTGTCAAATATTTGATTTCAGTGAAATCTAAAATTGTAAATTTTACTATTTTATTGTCATAGCATTTTAATTAATTGTTTTGAGATTCCTTTTTTATGACTCATGCTTTCAAAGTAAATGTCTTGTCCTAAGGAGGAAAATCTGAATTCACAAAATTGAAAAATCTGAATCACGAAATTATTACGAAGTAAGCTTGAATTTATCCACAAAATATGAATTTATATTGTAATTTTGACTCGTTATTGTTTCGCATTTCCCTCTGAACTGTTTTTCTGAATTATTTAAACCTCTTAATCTGTACTTTGCTCAACACAGGGTTGTATTTCACCCCAGAAATTTGCGTGTTTAAAATGTTTCACAGCGTCAAAAATTATTCCAAATCCATTTTTTTGTTCTTCATACTTCAATACAACAGATTTGAAACGAGGATTTCTCTCCTTGGGAGGACGAAGCCATTAAGTGGGAAATAGCTCTTACATGACATCACAAGTAGATATTGCTGTGGAAGAAGAAATAAGTTGATGTTTTCTACTGTTAGCATATGTGCTTTTCTTTGAATTTAATTTAAGTTATATGAAACCTATTCAATGAATTATTAAAACCTCTGTGATATTGACTATATTTGGTTGATTTTTTCCTTTACCTTTACAAAATCAGTTTTCTCCAGAACAATAAAGTAGAAAGAAATCAACATTTAACAATACGGTCACTTTTGTTTTGAATAAAGCCAATACGTATCTATTTTGTAACAATGACACCGATACATTTGGCAGTATCGATGTTGAGACTCCCAAACATAGCATTTCGGTTTGCATGGATGCAGACCTCCTTTGGCACTTCATTTTTTAAAAGGAAAACTACTGAATGTCAATTCTGTAAAACTTCCATGATTTTCCTTGCCTACGGGAAGAAAATTCTATGAAAACTTCGAGAAATGATGTTGGATTGTTCTCTGTCAAATAAATACAATTAGAGCAGGGATTTTAAAACACGACAAAGGAGATATGTGGTTTGAGAGTTTTACCATTGATATGGAATTGCGTCACTTATTTTGTTTCACAGAGCAGGATCCATTTGGAGGCTCTTTTTTACCTTCCATTTTCCTTTTTTTATTGGTGAAGTACACGGTTTGAAAAAAAAAGTTTCATAAAGTAACTCATAAAAGTTTCACAGTTTTCATAAAGTAACTCTTAATCCTATTATCACAGTTTTAATTCCAGGTCAGGCTTTGCATTTGCGACTCCTCATCTCTTTTAGAGACTATCATTGAGAGGTCTTCGCCATTTCTTTGCATTTTTTTGTCGCTTCTTCTAGGGCTGTAATTACGGCTGCCCTGAGTCCTCCTCTCTCAAGCTGGTATAGTCCAGCTGCTGTAGAGCCTGAAATAAAAAAGATTATATCCGTTTATACAACCGCAATACCTCAAGATATTCAAGGTTGAAATATTTGAAAGACATATGTATTATCTAAATGATACATATTAGTCCAGAAGAAGCTGAACTGCATTTCTTCTTGCCTACTCTCCTGGTGTATTTTATATTTTTGTACCAAAAACTAAGTAGTATTAAGCCTTGAGACTTTCATGAATTTTTCCAATATTAAATAATTAAAGCGCAGAATGCTGCTTTGTTTTTGGTTAAAAAAATTAAACACAAGTAAATTTTAGGCAACGTGTAACGTACTTAGTAATGCTGTTCAATTATTCCTGAAAACACTGAAAATTTGAACTTTCATGCAGAACTACGTATTTTGAAAAGTAATGTCTTTAATCATTGCAACTTAGGCTCTTTTAAGAAAGGGTAAAAATTAATGCAATTATTCTGGGAAACCTACCTCCAGGTGATGTTACATCATCTTTTAATTTGCCAGGATGACTTCCAGTTTCTAGCACCATAGTTCCAGCACCTTTGACAGTTTGGGCGGCAAGTTTATACGCTAGGTCCCGCGCAAGTCCCATTCGCACAGCCCCATCTGCAAGAGCTTCAATCATGACGTAAATCTAGAATTAATTCAAATGTTTCCATTAAAATCAACCATAAAGGTCATTATGCTACTTTGCTCTAGGAAAGTTGCTCTTATGAAGTGCTTACAAATATTGGCTAACTATACTAATTACCATTCCAAGAGTAAACCCCAATAATAATCCAACTGTGTAGCTGAAAGAAAAGAAGAGGAAGTAAAATCAAATTGTGTGTTATTTTGTTGTTCACAAGATTGTTTGTTTTTCTTTACATTTGGTCTGCTTTACAAATCATTTGGATATAATGGAGAGCAAATGTAAATTTATTCTAATTATCAAACGAAATAAGTTGACCGATGAGGAGAATAATTGAATATCTATATATTTAATATCCTAAGGCCTTTTTTGGCCTCCAACAGTTTGTGCTAATTCGATCTCGGAAACTACTGGACCGATTTTCCTCGGATTTGTTTTAAATGAAAGCTCTTAGGGTCCAGGGGGCTTGCCCCCGGCTAGCGGCGCAAGCGAGCGTAGCGAGCTGAAGCAGCTAGTTCTTATTAATGATTCTCCGATGAGGCAATTTCTTATTCGAAACAAGTTTCTATCAGCATACTGAATTTTCAGAAGAACTCAGAAAAGCACTTAGAATAGAGATAATTTTATCTTTCTGATGGAGGATCTTTTTTATGGTCTCGGAGCAATTTTTGTGACTTGAAGCTTAATGTTAAATCTTACATATGCTGGGCCGGATCCACTTAATGCTGTCACTGGATCCAAGTCATACTCCTTGACCTCCTCACATGTACCGATGGCAGCCAACAATTTTTTTGCGATTTCTGCATCGTCATCCTTGACTGACGAACCCCTGACGAATACAGATGCGCCTTCCCTCACCAGGGCTGGTGTGTTTGGCATCACTCTGATAACACGAGATTCGGCTGGAAGATTCTGGGAAGAAATTTTCAGGAAAAACATCATTAAAATGTGATATGAAGAATTTTATGGGTATCAATTACACGAAGACACTAATTCTTGAACAGATGAATATGGCTTATAATACTTATTTGTGATCTCGCTTTAGTATTATTCTCAGTCCAACATCGAGGAGCTCATATTTTTGGTCAGTCTGAATCAGTTAGATTTATTCCACAAAGTTAGTGAAAGGTGATCCCTACTATGTTTTTTTCTACTTCTTAATGATACCTTTTCTAATTAACTACATATGTCAAGCTTTCTGTCCATGGATATTTTTCTCTATTTTCTTTTAACAAAGACGGCTACTGAAATACATATAGTTTTTCTGCATTAGATAATGGAAGAAGCACTTTACCTGCTCAAGAGTTTTTAAAGTTACGCCCATGGCAACAGACAGGAACAAATTTTTTGGTGTCACCACTGATTTAACATCCTGTAAAACTGTTGGAATCACCAGCGGTTTTGTGGCTAGAAAAATGACTTCTGACTGCTTGACCACATCTTTGTTGTCGAATGTAGTTGGTATGCCCAGCTCCTGTTGCAAAGGAAATACATTTAAAAGAATCAGATAGAGTAAGTCAGGAACACTTTTAAAATCCAATCAACATTTGACCTAACTTTTTTTTTTTACTGAACTGAACTTTACTTAGTTAATTATTACGTAATTTAATTTCTCTCTATCTAAGTGTTTTACAGAAAATGAGATTTCTCATCGAACTTTTCTAGTCATTTCTAGGTACCAAGCCTATCAATTTTCATAGTCAAACGAAAAAATTTGTTCCCTACTTTATCAAATACCTGGATTGCATTGTAGGAACGACCCATATCAATCATCTTTATGAGTTTGCTTTGCTTTACCATTTTAGGTCAAAGAGGTAATATATTTCCCGCTATCTATTTTTACCCAAAAGTTTAAGGTACAATTTTTATCTATCAGAGGAAAAACTAAGTTGCTTGAAGTTAGCATCATATCAATTTTTTTTTCCATGCACTTTTTTTTTAAATTGCACCCATGTACATGAAGGTAAGTAAGTACTTTTGTCAAATTAAGGTTTCTAGTTTTTGCAGTTACCTTTAGGCCCTTAAGGCTCACTGTGTCTTGCGGAATGCAACTTGCCAGAATATTTTCATTTTTGGTCAGTCCTGAAAAAAGGAATGCGATTGTTTGTAAATGATGCAATGCAGAGAAACTAAGCCACCAATGCCATGATCAATTTGAGTTTCACAATGTGGCACATATGAGTTGAAAGTTCAAAGTACAAAAAGATCTTTGATTCCGATACCTATCTTTAGCCTGCTGATATAGCTATAGTCAAGAGAGGCAGAGTATGCATGAGTATGAAGAGAAAAATGAAAAATACATAAAATCTACGAAACAATCACAACTTCTTTTAATGGATTACGGTCCTCAAACCGTGAAGTCAACACTGAAAGTTATCACATCTTAAAGTATACCTACTAGAATCCTTTTACTTAATTTAACTAAAACCATGAGTGATTATTACTTTCCTAAGCATTAATTTTAGTTGTTTGTGCTTTTAAAGTTACTCTGGTGCACTTGGTCGACAGCGTACTAGGATTTTTAATAGCACTGACAGAGGAACATATTGAGGTGCACTTGGTTGGGTTGCAAGAAATTTCAGCTATAGATACATCTATGAAAAAATCATTAATTCTCTTAGGTCGACCATAGAAAATTAATCATTCAAACACTTATCGACACATAATGGTCTCAAAGTAAACTGTACCCTTCAAATTGTGTGAGTTAATATGAAATTTTCGACCAAAATTACATCTTAAGAAGAGGAGTCTGATTACCTGCCGATACGAATCCTTTGGCCATGGCCTGGGCCATTTTTCCACCTCCAATAAATCCAATCCGCAACATGTTTGAAGGAACAATGCACTTGAGAGTTTTACAGTAGTTCACTGCTCACCTCGTTCAACCTTCGAGTGTGTTATCATCAGGCAGGTTTCAACATTCCTGATAAAAGATAGCTGAGAGTTTGCTTCATGCAAAGAAGTCAACCGATAAGTTGAAAATAATATTTACTGCCTGCCCCCACTATCTTGTGATTAAAAATTGAATAAAATATGGTTACACCGCTCCATGATTCTGCGGAGTCCCTCTCCAAATTGAATGAAGTTTGCCATGATCCCCTCCTTATCAGTTCAGCCGTATAGTTGCCTGGTGCCTCTTCTGAAATTACTTTTTGTCATTTTTTTCCTCTGAGTAAGAATACATAGCTAATTTGAAAGATAATTTAATTTACCCAAAAGTAATGCCTAGCTCATGTGCACCTAGACTGATTAAATTGCTGAACTGCAATCATCGTTAAGTTAGTAGATGCTAAATTTAATATTTTCTCTCTCTCAGACATGTACCTTCACAAAAAGTAACAACCACACAGATCTGCACTTGTTTATAATATTTAATACGATATTTTACACTGCCTCAATGAAATTTCAACCGATTAAAAGAATGATACTCACTTTGTAAATTCTTGCATCATTCAAGTTGTTATCCATCCAAGTGGCTGCTCTTTTGACAACTCTCAGAAATAAAACATAATTCATAACTTTCAGTAATCAAAATAGATACCCACAGGCGCCCTTAGGATATCAATCGCTCATTAATGAGGTAATATGAGTTTTATCAACACCACCTGAAGCTTATCAGTTCCAAAATTATCTTTCTCATAGTAGGTATCTACGACCTTCACCCTTTTAAATTATGATTCACACTTTCTTTACACTGAATCAAATTGGATAAATATCCTAGGTATTTTTGCATCTGTTTTTGTCTACTAAACTTTACGCTTGATCAAAAGTATCTAAAATAATTGTGCCCCCTCCTCCCCCCCCTCCNACCCCCCCGCGGCAATCGGAAGGTTGGTTGTCTCCCCGTCAGTTTGAAAATTCGCGGTTAAATAATTGTGAATCCGACCACGCCCTGAGAGCGCTAGTGTACCTTTTGTTTTGTTTTGTTTCGTTTTGCAATTGAGGTTAGGAGTGATAATGTTATCATCAAGTTCATCAAGTTATCATTACATACCCTCATTATCGTCGCTTTTATTTGTGCTTTTTCATTTATTTGTTTCCAAGTGTTTCATTGTCTGCACTGCCAATTATCTTCTAAATTGTAGATAATGAAGGTCACTTGATCTTTAATACTGGCCGACCAACGTCGTTCATTTTGCAACATTTTCGCTTAGGCGTCATAGTGTTTGGGCATCAAATTCAAAGGAGGACGATACATTTTGCTTTGTGGATGTAAGTATTTATGAGGAAGTAATTTTTTTACCAACCTGTTAACACTTATCAGGAGTGCTAGGATTAGGGATGGACGAATATCAAATTCAAATGCGATTAGGCATTAGAATATTTGCAACTTTTTGATTGCGATTATTTGAGAAATCGGATCTTGCGATTTCGAATACTTGGAAGCCAATAGTCAAATATTTCCGATTATTGCTTCGACTTTTGATTTTTTTAAAAAAATTACTCATTTTTTCAGTCATAGATAGCTTGCACAAGCTCTAATATTCGCACTTTCGGAAAAGTATTTCCACACGATGGACTTTTTCGAACCATACTGGTGGTACTTGTTCTGTAGGGTATGAAGGTATAGAGGGTCCAACCTTCAAATTTTGAACTATCGAAGGGGAAGTAATAATAATGGCAGTTTTGCCACATCGAATATTAATTGAATATTCGGATAACTTCACCAAAATTTGATTGTGCGATGCGATTATCTTGGTGCCGATGGCTCGGATGCCTTAGCACCCCAGAAATTCTGACAAGTGGCTCAGGGAGTCCCGGCAGAACTCCTCTAGGGGCCCCCAAATCTTGATAAACCCATTGATAGGAAGACCTTAGGTTAGCTAGGGGAGCTCCTATCCGAGAGTATGGGTTTTCAGGAACACCTGTTTTTCCTCAACAAAACTCAGCTTCTGTCAATTTTAGGATTTTGAAACTCTAGGCAACAGATGCCTAGGTGCTCAATCAACACAATATTTAAAAGGCACCTGTGCTCAAATTAACTAGCTTGTATCCATAACTCAAGCCAATAATGATCTATAAAGAAATTAAATGAGGTCCAAGTAAGTTTTTGAATCATTGGAGGAAAATAATTCATTGTAATACATCTCGCAACATGTTGCACAGACAAAGCGAATTGAGCAAGAAGATAAAATGGAATCTAAGAACCACAGAAATAAACCCATCAACTCAATATCTAGCTCTCCTCCTTATCAGTAACCTTTGTTTTCATAGCTGCTTCTATTTTTTTCCAGGTGAAAGCTATGCACTCGGAGAGATGGAGGAACCAATGGACTGGCCCTCTGAGGGGAAGTATGTTATCAACGAAGTGAAAGATTTCGTTCGAGATATTGCAATTTCTAGCCTGGAGAGTGAGCACAATGATAAGGTCTATCTTAACGCTACTACAGCCGAGGGGGACTCATACTGCATTGAACTTTGTCAGCTTGGGTTCCGTGTGGTCTCTAAACAGTTCGATACTATCAGTCCAGAGGTCAGTGAAGAAAGTCAGTGGTATGACACACCTTACGCACTTTTCAACTCTCTCAGTCCCATGTTCAATAAGCTCTTCTCGCAGAAGCTAGCGGAAAAGTTGCAAAACCTCCAGCGTGAAAATGGAGACGGGACAGAATCAGATTGACATGGTGACAGTTTTCAGTGTTGGTTTTGTTATGGTGGTGTATGTCTTGTCACAGTTCTTTTTCTGTGACTATGTCTTCAACTCGATAGCGGAAAATCCGGTACGGAAGAGCGAAGCGTTGTAATCACGATGTGATTGATTTTGTCATTAAATAACATCTTTATCTCTGAGTAATTGTGATGATTACTCTCAAACGCATTTTTATCAGTTGACATGTAGATATTTCAGTTATTTATCAACCTGCGACTAGAGTTATGTAATATGAGCAATGCTGTGAATAGAATTGAAGCAGTACACCTCCTTATCACACGCACTCATGATTTCTGATTCAAAAAGTGTTAAAACATAAAAGGTCAAAATAGCATTTTTGTTAATATTAGCCATGACCTTTTTATTGTACTTGTCTTCTTCTAATGGTGTGCCAAGATTTGTGCGATAGCAGTTCGAGTCTTTCACATTTCATATCCATTCTTCAAGTAAGCTCACTAATTATGTAAGTCACTTTTTTACAAATTTTGGCAATTCATTCGCACCTTCTTAGAAAAATTGATAGTGTAACCAGTAGCACTCAATCACTGCTAAGCATTCATTATGGTCTCCAAAAAGTCTCCTAAAAGTGAGTGCTGAATCCCATTTTACTCTTAAATAAGTAAACATCAGAATTTTCAGATTTGAAAATTATCAGGCCTAAAATTTATTAGGTGCCAAACTTACCACATCAACTTTTAGAATAGCATCCGATTAGCAATGGATGATATCACTTTTGATGAGCCATTCTCAATTTACTTGTTAAAAGTAGTTTCTGTTCTAATGATTGTCTCCTCCAGCATTTTGTGGGTGATGTGCTAAATTTTCATTTCAAGCTGCAGTTTCTTAAATTTGCTGATTTTTATCAATAAATTTTCTTTTGTAATTTCATTAATTCAGTATAAAGAGTATGTTATTTTCAACATTCTCTACATATCCTGGTATGATGGTGGATGAATCATTCTTGATGTACATGATGAAAATATTTTCTATCAACTTAATTGCTTGTTGCAATATTTTTTGGACAATCTCATAAAGTGTCTCAGTGTATCGCTTCAGCTATAGCACAGTTTTCCCCCATCATGAATCTTACGTCTAAATCTTCTAGCCATACCCAGAATGAATGAAATTCAAGATGGCTCCAATTTGCTGCCAATTTTGTCAATTGTCAATTTGGAAAATTTAAAAATTTTGTTGAAAATAATTGAAATATGAGCCCACCCAAACCCCGCTTCAAGGGGAAGCAGCTGTTTTGTCAATGTTTTCACATGACAGATTCAAATCTGTGTACTCATTACCCCCTCCAGTTGTTAATTATACAGTTATGATCCTTTCTATTTATTATATATATTATATAATACCCGCATCCCCAGATTTGTCTAAAAAGGCATTATTATGAAGTTTGTCTTTACTTTTTTTCTATCTCTCATCTGCTAATTGCTTGAATATCCTCTGAAAAATGTATACTTCATTTTATACAATATTGTAACTAATTTTCCACTTGCTGCTTGAATAAATGGCATTTTTTACAAAGTTCAGCAACTGATTCCTTCCATTACTGTTCAATTCTTCAATATTGCTCTTATCTCCAAGTAGAAGAGGGTAAGCATGCCGAACGAATAAAGCGATTTCCTTCATGAAGATGAGAGGTCTTGTAAATATAATACTCCTAAAGTGATCTTGCCTCCATTTTGTTTATTTAATTTTTTTTATAATTTTAAGGCGTAATGATTCATAATGTAATTTTTCTTTGAATTATAAACGTTGATCCCCCTTTTGAAGTTCAGTCAGAAATAGCCAAGTGACTGAGTTACAAGGAGCATTGTAATGAATATAATTCTAGTCGATAGTAAAACTACAAAAATACAATTGGCAGGCACAATACCAGTTTTAATGTGGCAATTTTCTTTCTAGATCACAGGAAGAACTTGGAGGACGGGGTACATAAAATAATGTTAGAAAAGCTGAGATAATAATAATTTTAAATGTCTTTAGTCTTAAAGTATATTCATTAAAAACTCCACCCCTAAAATCTAATTTTTAAGCACCAAAAAGTGAGGTTGAACTTAATTTCCTTCTTTTAAAGCTTCATGTGATTTTAAAACTTTTAAGTAACATGTATATCTTGAAATAACAAAAAATTCACTTATGCACCTTGTCCTCCAAGCCTGTCATATACTCGTGTAAAAAGTATCCATTCTGCAGTATTTTAATAGGCTTGTCAGGTAGGAGGATTTTCAAAATTCCCTCCAACATTCGATAGAAAATTCTTTTGCGAATATTTTGATACTGAATGTACATAAAAAATAAGAAAACATATAGAACAAGAAGGATTAAACAAACATATACCTAACTAAAAAAAAATTACGAGTATCCCTTGTGTAAAAACAGTTCAGATTTTTTTTTATATGTAAATTTTCTAATTCTGGAGAAATTAGTGTACTTACACCAAGTAGCATAGGTTGTACAATCAATGGATGTAGGTATTGAAATGATGTTGCAATTTTTTTTACCATGAAAATGCAATATTTTAACATAATTTGGTCATTGAATGCCCATTTCAACGATCAATTACGTAAGTTCCATATGCAAGCCGGAAAGGTAAGCAATTTGCAATGCAAAAATGATCGCAAATTACCCACTTAAAAGCTGCAATCAATTTTTCAACGAGAGAAGCCCCTTCAATTAGTGAACAGGCAACATACATAACACACCGATACACAAGTATCTTGAATCGTGTCCAGACGATTTTTTATCGACTTTCGCGAACAAAATAGAATCGATGAAGCACGAGCTGATAAAATGTGTCAATATCGACATTACACTGCACAGCTTCAACATAATCATTTCAACAAATTAATTTTCAAAAATCATAACGACCCAGTTTAAGCAGTGCAATATCATTTATAATCCTCAATAGAAGGAGGAAACAATCTACATAGAATTGGTCAAGAGGCACAGATAGAACTCAGCACTAAAACTCAATAGTAATATTGGATGTTTACAATACCCGGAATTCAGGCGGGTAGATACCTATTCCTTACTGAAAATTTTCCAAGTTTTGAAAAAGGGTAAACTCATTTCAGTGTCAAGTATGGATCAATTTCTTGTTTTAGGAAAATATTTTTTTTTTATTTTATTAATTTTATTTTTTTTAAATTAAATTTAAATACTTACCCGCACTTTTCCCGCGTGGTACCTATCGAACATCTGGGACTCCCAAACAAAACTGGAGAGAAAATTTCGGGTGAAATTTTAGTCGAAAAAAACTATGAGCGTCGTTCCACTATCCGTCTGTATCAGTACCCTCATACAGAAATTTTGGGAGCTGTCAAAATTTTAAAAGCTGAGCAAGCATTAATTAGGTTTGCTCTTAACCAGTAAGCTGCAACTAGGTACTCATTGTAATGTGATTAGCATTTTACTTTCTTCCCAATATCAACTGCCAACACACTATTGAGGCTCTAATTGACATTCATTCCCTCTCAGAATAAATTTTTTGCTCCATTATGTACGTATCTACCTTCTACATGTGAAACTGCTCTCATAATTTAATTAACACCTTCCATCCAAAGAAGAAAAGGAGGGGAGGAAGATACACAGGGGAAAAAGAGGAAAGGTGGCCACAAAAGGGGGACGATTACAGGAAAGTAGAGAGGACGAGAAGAGAGATGATGAAAGAAAATTCGTACCCGGTTGCCTTGGCCAATGATTTGCCTTCAATTAGCCGGCTATGCAAAATGACTGTCGTGACGCACGAATAGTGGTATCAGAATTTTGCATTAAGATTACGCAGCGGGTTGAAGGCGCTCTTCTGTATCCCATCTGAGTGGCCCTGCACAATGATGTTGACCAAAAATGTTCATAATTTTTTAGTTTTCAATCGAGCCAAAATTTTGTAAAATGCCCAGAGAATGTTATTTTGAATATTAAATAATACGTTTTTTTTCATGTAAGTCTTATTTCAAGAAAGAGAGCTTAAACGCCTGTTTCAGATTGTGGGTTTTAATTCTTCTTGCTTTGGTCTTCGTATTCTTATGCAAAAGTGAGTGAGTCGCCGTTTATAAGATCGCAAGTTTCTTAAAAGCGCTTGTAAATTCGATAAGTTCCGCACGGAAAAAATTAGCTTTCGTCGGTGAACTATGAATAATCAGAGTTAAAGAAAAGGTACTTTTTCCACTGGTCCATTGGAGAGGCGTAAAGCGTGGATGGATGGAACAATTGAACATGGATGTCCTCCGGGTTTCTATACAGGCAATATAACAAACACGTATTGATGGCTGCAGGTTTCTAACGATATAAGTATATGCCAAAGTGTTGTAGGAAAAATAGAAAAATAAATATTACCTGTATACTTTTTTGAGGGTCTAAGCAGAGACGATATGTTCTAGAGACTCCGCACTGTCTTCTTACCTACCTATGGTGTAAGAGTTTCTCAAAGAAGCCAATTCTCTGATTCACTTATTAATGGCTCACGGTATTGGATCAACTAAAGCTTCTAAACAAGTTTTATGGATGAAAAAACACTATTTTTATAATCTTAATGATCCGCAGCAAGTTCAAAACGATAATACTTGCAGACATGCGTAACTCGTGATCAAATGTCATTTTCCTATCATACAATGCTTGATCTGACCATATGAGATGGTTTCAGGACATTTTGTCAACGATTTTTTGTCCGCGCACCTTTTTTGTTCAGTAGTTTATGCCCACACGTAAAGTAAGCAACAGTGACTTGGTCCAAGCGTAATGTTTTAGTCGATGTAAAATTATATTGACAATATGGAAATGAGGAATTGAGAGAGAAGGAGGTGTTGTTATGGTTGCTCATTTTCTAAATGAAATGTTATTACTTTCTCTTTTTGAATCATCTTTTTAAATTGTCATTGGTGAATATTTGCTTTTATTTCTATCCTTAAAATATTGAATGTACAATATACCTTATATATGTATAGGTACTTTTTCTTATATTTTTTTTATTTTTTCTTCACGAAATTATTACTTCATTTAGAAAGCATTTATATTTTTAAAACGTGACAAATATTTGTAAAACCTTTTCCGAGCGACATTAATCTCAATGAGCCGCAGTTGTGCCGACAGAAACTGCAAAAATGAATAAAAGAGGAAGAACAAACCAAGAAGCACGCAATCTTTAGTTTTAACCCATTTGTACATCGATTTTTTAGAGTCAAATACGTCAACTTTTGAGCGTTTCGTTGCGCATGCACCTCGCTGCAGCAAAATAAAAGCGCAAAATGTACCTAAAAGAAAAAATTAAAGTGCTTTGGAAATCATTTTTGACACGGAACAACCAATATTTAAAAAACACACATTAGGGTGATCCAAAAGTCCCTTCCACCCCCTCTAACGTTTTACCTAATTGAGATAAAGATTTGAAACTTGGAGGATACTCCTAGGTCAAAGGGAGGTACTTTTTGGCCCCCCTAAAATTTTCAGGGGGGCTCCCCTTGGGGGGGGGGCAACGGCCCCAACTTTTAATTTTCAAATGGGGAGACCCCCTTTGTGATAGCTCGTTCGAAAGAGCATAAAAAAAGAAAACTTTTCGCGCAAACCCGAAGTCAATATCTCAAACCGTTTCAAAATGGCGGCCGGTTAAAGTTCAAAATGGCCGAAAATTCACACCGGTTATTTGTCGATGGATTTGCGCGTAAGGGTATTTTGACACGAAAAAAACGAATTTGACGTTAGATTTTAAAAAAACCAAAATTTCCAAAATGGCCGCCGGTTAAAGTTTAAAATGGCCGAAAATTGTCACCTCGGTTTTTTCCTGATGGATTTGCCTAAAACTTGGAATTTCAGAGTATTTTGGCATAAGCTAAACAAATTTGAACTTAGATTTCTAAAAAAATCAATTTTTGGTCATTTTGAACTTTAACCGGCGGCCATTTTGGAAATTTCGGTTTTTTGAAAATCTATTCTCGTGAATTCTCTAAATCTAATTTTCTCGTGTCAAAGTACCCGTACACATCGATTTTCGCGCAATTCCATCGACAAATAACCGGTGTGAATTTTCGGCCATTTTGAACTTTAACCGGCCGCCATTTTGAAACGGTTTGAGATATTGACTTCGGGTTTGCGCGAAAAGTTTTCTTTTTTTATGCTCTTTCGAACGAGCTATCACAAAGGGGGTCTTCCTATTTGAAAATTGCAAGTTGGGGGCCGTTGCCCCCCCAAGGGGAGCCCCCCTGAAAATTTTAGGGGGGCCAAAAAACCACATTAAAATCCAAATGTTCCTGGAAATGTATCGATTCGTGGAGGGGCCAGGTGCCCCGACAAAAATCGATTATTTAACATGGGTTTAAATGGAAGGAATCCATTGTTGCCAAATTGATGGATCCACTCCTGGAGGGTGACGATCAGTGGCGAGGCGTAAACGATCGATTATCGATAAATCTCCATTTGAAACTGTGGTGAAGAATCGATTATTAAGGTGTTCGTTGCGAACGCTCTATTTATCGATCCTTTTCCGTAGGTTTAAATGACAGATACAGGTGAAGCGCCTACAAGCCTACATGAATACTTCTCGCATTGCACATAACGCAATGCAAACGTTATTTGAGATAACTATTCGACCACGGGTGTAGGCATATTTGCCGCCGGCCGGATTGAAGGCGCGGCATACTGCGGAGATGACTGGGCTCCTTTATCTCCGATTGCAACATTATGCACCACTTTTCATGTTTTATTCTTGATAAGCATGACGATAAACCGATTTGTGGATTTTAAAAAAATTCAAAATTTGGATTTCGTATTGTATAAAATTTAAAAGTTTAAAACTGATGGATGATAATCTTTCAAAAAGTCATTCACTTAAAATAATCTTTAATTTTAGTTTGTGTGGATTTTGAAAGCTGGACGGATTTTAAAACTGCTTCCAAATTTTGGAGGCTGTTGAAAACTGTATCGTCCACGTCATTTTCACTGAAGAATGTCCTAAGTTTGTTGCGGAGTTGCCGCTTATGCCGAAAAATTTCATCTTAAGCGGAGAACGGTTAAGACGAAAAGCCGCTTATGACGAAATTTTTTTCGGTCCCTTCATTTTTCGTTTTAACGAGCTTTTACTGTAAATCGATAAATCGCAAAGCAGGCCACGCCACTGATGACAATTGGACTGCATTTTGCAATTTGGACCCATAAATTCTGGCTCATCTGAAAAAACACTTATGTGCATGGGGAAACTAATGGCACATACGTTGTTTTTAAACTGGGCCGGAATTTATAGGTCCAAATTGCAAAATGCAGTCCAATCAGTGGCGATTCTTCAAAGTTGGCAACACCGTTTTTCCTCCATTTGTGACTTTCGGCTCCCGCCGCACAATAAATCGAGTCACTTAGAGAGGGCGGACATAAAATTTTTGACTGAGACTGCAAATTTTGATATTTATTTCGTCAAATTTTAAATTTTATGAGGTGCTTACAGGAGAAAAAAACCAATGAAACCATACTTTTAGAACCTCAAAGTTTTGGATATACGAAGTTATGAGCGTTTAAAGTTTTCAAATTTTGTTCGACCACTCCTATTGACTCGATCCACCGTGCGCCGGTAGGACAATGGCGCGAAATTCGAATTTAAACAACTTTTGCGATTTAAGATATGAGGAATGACAGGAAGTCTGCTACGTCGCAATTTGAACTTACACTGTCGATACGCACCATAAACACTCCAAGAGTACGAATAGTTGCATGCAGAATTCGTCGTCATAAACACTGCTTTCGTTGCCACTGTGAACGTACAGTAACTGAGCATCATTGCGCCTTCAATTTTTCGTTTATGCACCATGGACACTCCAAGAGTACGAATAGTTGCATGCACGCTTTGTCGTCATAAACACTGCTCTCGTTGCAACTGTGAACGTAAAGTAACTTAGGGCCGTTTGTACAATCTCTTGTTAACCTCTGGTCACCAAACCAGTAGTCCGACTTGACTAACAGTCAATCTGCTAATCAGCCTAACTACTGGTTTGCGAGAAAAAGAGTAAAAGCTGACCAGAACTTGACTTGAAGAAAACCGGGAGTCGTACACACCCACCCCTGGTCAAGCTCTGGTCAGCTCAAACTACCCATTTGACAAGCACCTGACCAGAGGTTGTGCAATCGGCCCTTAGCCTCATGTCCCTCTTCAATTTTGCGTGTGTGCACCATAGACAATCCATGAGTGCGAATAGTTGTATGCATTTTTGGTATATTTTAAGGTCTCAAGAGACGTTATACTTTTCAAGAAACCCTAACTCGACCGAGGATTACGTGGATTGCATTTTGAAAAAAGGAACCAAGAGCAATCCAATGTTGCTAGGATTGTGCTATTTAAATTATTCGCAATTATATCACTGAAATCACGCAAGAAATAAATTTACAAAGGTAATTCTCGCCTTAAAATTATAGTTTATTGGTAGTAAAGGTAAAAATTATTTAGACGAACAATTTATATTTGCAAGGTAAAAAAGTTGCATAATCTTATGCCGCAATCACACGCTGAATGTGGGAGCTGAATGTGGCTTGAATGTGGAAGTCATCGGCCCGATGCCTGAATTTTGCGCGTGACGCGCAAAATTCATCAACGATTCTCAGCAACTTTCGGACTAATGTTGGATTTGTCTGAACTATTCGAATAGATTTGACACACATCTGGATGAAAATAACTCGAATTTGCGAAATTTCAGCCGTTGGGCGATGACTGTTGACTTCCACATTCAGCTGCTAAATTCAGCGTGTGATTGCGGCATTAGCGACATTGGAACACTCTTGATTCCTTTTTGCAAAATGCAATCCACCTGGTCGTGGAGGGCAATAATTATTGCCAGATTATGCTAGAAAATCATCACTTTTACCCTATTTAAACCCACACAAAATATCCAAATTTTATCTCAAAACTTGGCAAACTCAAGAGTAGTGCATGACGTTCTCACTAAAGAAGTCCACATTCCCGGCTAAAACATGTAAAATCACGCACGTATAACTTTACGACTATTTACTCAAAAAAGTAACTCGGAACTTGTACAATGGCCAAAAGAGAATAAAATATAATTAGGACAATAAAAGTACAACCAATCGAACGTATGTTTAACATTAATTCTAAACTAAGTTCTAAAAAGAATAGCAAATTGAATGTATCATGCAACATCTGCAGCGGTTTTTGTGCGTATTTGGAATCCGAGTGTGCACAAGTGAGTGCAACACGTACCCCTCTTGATCATGACGTGACCCTGGACAGGAAAAGAAATTCGATCGTGAAATAAACCGCACCTAATAAAAAATAGAGTCCCTTCACAGAGAGAGTTAAGACAACGCGGCTCATGGATGTAACAAACGGGAAAAAAGATTACACAAATTGAACGCTTTTCGTAATCTTTGATCAACTCATTCCCGAATTCCTGTCTCCGTCCTTTCTCTCTCTTTCAATTGGCAATCTTTGCAATTGGCCAAAATTTAATCTTCATTCCCTTTTGTGACAGTGGACAGTGTGGAGACCTAAAATATGGGAACCAATCAGAAATGGATTCGTATTGTCTTTACTCTCAGTATTAGGGGACTTTAATAATGAATAACGTGCCAATGGACCACTAGACAAGGTACGTATTTTAGCATTCTGATACATGTTTCTTGACCAGAATTTCGCGTAAAACACGATTCGTGCAACGAAAATAGCTGAAACCAACTCCTAACGGAGAAATTAACATTTTTATTTCACATTGGTTACGAGGAATTGGAACTGCCCGCTCACAAGAAACTCAAAGCTCTACGTGAGTCAAATCGCGCTCTACAACGGTTTCAGCAATCTTCTCAATCGAGCAATGTTCATTTTCCACCATGTGTTGTTCAAACTATAAGCAATTTGCTACAGCTGAGCCAAAGCGTCAAGATTGAGGTTGCCAGATTTTTATATCTCAGAGACTGTCATGATAAACGTTTAGCGCGCGATGTGAATCATGTAGAGCATTTAGTTTTCATGAGCGGGTGGTTTGAATTCAAGCATCAAGAATTATTGCATATCTTCGTAAGGATGTGATTTCGGTAATTTTCGTTGTGCGCATCGTGTTTTACGTGAAATTTTGGTCAAGAAACATGTATCAAAATGCTGAAATTTGCACCTTGTCTAGTGATTCATTTATACTTCGGAACTTGGAAACAATTTTTCAAACAGGATTTTGCATCTGCATGGCCAGGCCCGGAGCACCCGCAACCTTGCCGTGGTAGTGAAGAGAGCAGCAAGTGCAAAAATGAAGATTTGAGAAAACGTGCTCAGAAACGTCTGACCGGAAAATTGTATTGGAAGAAGCCAGTGGCGAGGCGCGAGTAATCGATTATCGATATTTCCCCATTTAAAACTGTGCTAAAGAATCGATTATTAAGGTGCTCCCTGTGAACACCCTATATATCGATCTTTTTCCACCTATTTAATTGACAGATCAATCGATATAACGCAAATCACGCCACGCCACTGCAATAAGCCTCCGTTCTTCGTCAAATTGCCACTAATCAGCCGAAAAACTCTTAGAAATCGTTTGTATGATTAAAAATCGACCGATTTCATTTCAATTACATAAAAAGGGTATTATTCATCTTCATCTTAGGCTAGCGTTAGGCAAGACAGCCGTAATGTACTGATATATTGAAAAGATTTCAATGATTAATGAAAAACTTACGTTTTTAATGCCATAATTACTACCCCAGCTATTCCGTATAAGGTAGTATGGGACATCATCGTCTGAAAAGGAAAATTTAGGTTTATTCACCAAATATTGAATGACTCCTTAACTCAAGAAAGCTTTGGAAATTTTCTGTACACGGATTTCAGTTACTTATTTGTTTAAATTATATTTAACTAAAGACGCATTTTTTGTCAAACTATCACAAGTGTTGACTCAAAAGCTCTGCACATTTTACTCTTGTACGAACAATAATAAAAATAACTACAAACTGTACACGGAATCAAGTAATTTATTTCTATAAATACTGCTGAAACTATTTGCCTTCCTTAATTTAAAATTCTAAATTTTTGTACGTACACCCATCTTCCAAATTCTTTCTAAAGACGTTAATAGCCTAGGATGCTGAATGTCTATAAATAAAATAACTAACTAACTATATTTTACTAAAGCCGCATTTTTTGTCAAAATATAAAAAGTGTTGACTCAAAAGACCAGCACATTTTGCTCTCGTTCGAACAATAATAAAAACAACTGCGAATGAGGCGCATATTCTCAGCTTTGGTTCAATTTGTAGTATCACATAGAAACAAATTGACGGAAGGGTAGATCAATTTTCCCGCACCGTACTCCGATATATTTTAGAAGCCCCGCACTAATAGTCTAAAAAAACCTTCTTTAAAAGATATATTCGTCAGTTTTAGGAGCCTTAATCCATTTGAATTTTAGGTTCGCCGCAGAAATCGATTGAAGAGCGAAAAATTTTCTTAGGCGGTAGGGGGGAGGTGCACGACTTTAAACAGTCTAGAAACAGATACATTATGTACATATACTTTACAGAGACCCCACACTAATAATTGGAGTGACGTAACCTCGTGAATTGCACAATGCACATGTAAACTCAAAATGCAGAATACAACTATTTCAACTTCCATTTGGCTCCAATTGCATACCCACCGAATTGTAGGAAAATCACGGTTTTTCCACGTTTTCTTACCGTTCGAACTCGATACACATTCGTTTTAGATGCATTGCTACTTGCAGAGACAATACATTTCAGAGACCCCGCGTTAACAATCTGAGCATTAAACTGCCGTGCTAAGGATAAACGCAGTATGAACATGCGGGAGTTGGCAAATTCCCACGGATAAAACATGTATTTTTGAGGTAAGTCATTCATATTTCTCTTTGAAACTTTCAGATGTTTGAGATAAAATTGCGAACAAAATTGTCTGAAAAATTTGAAGAAAAAATATATTCAACATTGTCCTGGTGAACTAGTTTTTTATTGAAGGGAATCTGCCAAAATCTGAAGGTTCATACGGCGCTCTTCCTTAGCACGGCAGTATAATTGATCGAGGCAAAATTTCAATTCGGAAGTTAACGCTACTTTCCACCTAATGATGGTTGATGAGCAACTAGTTAAGCAAAAAAAAAAAAAAAAACAAATACATATAATATCCGCCAAATGATGTCTGATGACTGTCGGAGTAAGTACTTCACTAGGCGAGTTTTCACAAATTATTGTATTAGAATATTTTTATACCAATTGCTCAACTCTTTGGCCACCAGTCACCATAAGACGAATCTGAGAGTTGACTTTCGAAAGTAAATATCACATAGCAAGAAATATGACAATGTGGGGTCTCTAAAATCATTTTCTCTGCACAGGATAACTTAGAGGAGACAATTTTTAAAACCACAACAATTTTGAACGCGAGATATTACACGTCAAAGCAGCGCCAATAAGCACTATTGAACGTATTTCTGCCAAACGAAAGTATGAGCATTATGACGTGAGCCCTGTTATGCATATATTCTCACGGGTCTCAGGGCTCATGTCTTAATGCACGTAGTTCCGTTTGGTAGAAATACGTCCTATCATGATCTACGAGGATCCGCCAAGAAGTATGCTAACGTGCTTCATATCTCCTCGAATAAAATAGATGGCAGAAACCGGGGAAAATCAGCAAAAAACCACTACTTCTTATTAGGGTGGAGTGATATTATAATTTTCCTTACGTATTCCATAGCCGACGAGAGCTCCACCATGGGTTGGCGTTTCATTATTGGGACAGTTTACGATGACATCCGGGCCTGTATAATGCTGCAAAAAATGAAATAAAAGTAAGATTATTACACCATTTCACGTGCGTCTTACTCGTGTAACTATACTGCACTGTCAGAAAAATTATCGATATTTTTTCATACCGATATTTTTTCATACCGAGCCATAACCGGAATTTAAGTAAATTTTATGATCATTTGGAACATACATATGTCATATTTCTGTCAAACAGAACTATGTTCAGGGAGAAGGATGGAGTGCAGGGCCAGATTTACCTACTTGCCGCCCATGGGCCGCTTGTATTTTGCCGCCCCTGTCTCATTAGTTTTAAAACATCAATAAAAACCATCAAATGAACGTGCCAGCGGAAGAGGGGTGCATAAGACGCGTTTACTCGTGTTGGACACATTTTTTGCGAAAGCCCTGTAACACTACTAGAAAAAGTTCAGAAGACTTTGCGCGAAAGTCAAATTTTGTAAACCTATCTCTAATGGACAAGGCCTCCCATTCATAAGAAATGAACGACAAAATTATGAAAGAACAAACATAAATATGGATTAATGATTTTAACTTCCGCCACCGCGCCGCGCTGACCGCACCGTGTTTGACGCAATGCGTGAAGTATTCACGCAGTCTTGTAGGTGCTACCCATTTTTCGCTGACCGCAATGACCGCACTCTGATGCAATACGTGAAGTATTCGTGCAGTCTTGTAGCCGCTAATATGTGTTACATGCCGATCGCCGCGCCGAGGGCCTCTCCTTTTCATCTCAAGTCCTCGTCATCATTTCTCTCTAAGTCGCGTCGTTCCGGGCCAAATTGCGAGTTTTAATTATTTGGTTTCTCTCTTAACTTGAATAATTAAAGGTGCTGTCCCTTGTATCTCTGAAAGACGACAAAATTAGAATTTATTATTATACTCTCAGGAAATGAGAGATTTTCTCGCCTTCTCTCGTATGTATTTTTTTTTTCTAAATCCGATTTTTTTTATACCTACATTTAAAAAAAATCGCAAAATTTGCCGCCCCCTATAGATTTGCCGCCATAGGCCGCGACCCATGTGGCCACCCCCTTAATCCGGCCCTGATGGAGTGTGCTCGTTAGTGCTCGGGCCATAAGAATGAATGGGAAATATATAGCGCCAGCGCTTTAACTCATGAGCCCTGTCAACAAGGCTCTAGATACATGCCCACGGCTCATACACTGTACACATAGCTCCGTTTGACAGAACGAGAAATCCTGCATCTCCAATTCAGCAAACGAAACTGTGAGCCAACTAAGTGCGGCATCCATGAGCCGTGGGCATGAATCTAGAGCCTTGTTGACAGGGCTCATGAGTTAAAGACCGCGTGAGAAGCGCGGAGGCAGTTTAGTCACTGGCGCTTTATGTTTCCCATTCATTCTTATGGCCCGAGCAGTAACGAGCACGCCCCATATTTCCCACTGCACATAGTTCTGTAGTTCTGTTTGACAGAAATACGTCCATATAGACGAATTATTTTTAAGAAATTTATATTAAATTATATTGAATTAAAAACCTCATTATTTGCACGCGAGAGTAGTCTGCATGTGACGTCCGCCATTTTTTTCGATACTATGAGCTCCTTAAAATCACGAGTGGTACCTTCAGTGGCCATACTCTATTTATGAAGGCGCTCTATGTCTAGTCTGCCGTGCTAAGGAAGGACGTCGTATGAACCTTCTGGCGTTGCCAAATTTCCTTTGATAAAACACGAATTTCCTGATACTTTTGAATATTTTCCTTCCAATTTTTCAGATAGTGTTGTTCGCAATTTTACCTGAAGTTTCCAAAAATTTCAAGGAAAATTTGACATATTTCTGTCAAACAGAACTAAGCGCCAATTTGAGTTTCTTTTTAGGAATTTAGAGTCCCTTTATACTGAGAGTCAAGACAATGCGAATCCATTTCTGATTGGTAAACCGGATTTTAGGCCTTCACAGTGTCACAAACGGGAATAAAGATTACATTTTCACCAATTGCAAAGATTATAATTTGGAATGGACCGAGGAATTTCGGGTTCGACAAGGAACAAACGGAATGAGAGAAGGAACGGAGAAAGGAATTTAAGAATGAACCGATCAAAGATTACGAAAAACGTTCAATTTGTGTAATCTTTATTCCCGTTTGTGACTTCATGAGGGGTGTTGTCTTGACTCTCAGTATAAAGGGACTCTAGAGGAATTTAGAGTGTCGAATAGCGCGTTCCGTGTTCCGTCAAACGGAACTAAGCGCCATGAAAAAGCATTGCGAGTACAGGACACACTCTCACCTGTAGATATTGACCCACTAATGACACAACGAATGGGGTTCTTCGCACATTATTGATTATTTCGTTCTCGCTTCTGGAGTGTACCATTTGTACGACTTTCACGATTCCGCGTAGCCGAACATTACGATGTCGACATTCCTGAGTTACTGCTCTGTAAGGGTAATCCCCCTCTTGAGCCAAAAAAACGTCATCTTTCAACATGTAGGTCTCCAACAGCATTTGGTATGTAGCGCCAACTTCGCAAGAATTATTTTCGACACAGTCCAGAAGTTCTAGAAAGCATACACGTTTTTATGACCATGAGCAGGTGCATACAGCACCATGACAAAATCAGAGGGTAAATGAAAACATGCTCCGATCGATAACTATTTGGACGTATTTCTGTCAAACGGAACTATGTGCATTAAGACATGAGCTCTGAGACCCATAAGCATATGTGTATAACAGGGCTCACGTCATAATGCACATAGTTCCGTTTGATGGAAATACGTCCATTTGATCGACGAACCTGCGTGCATTGAAAATCTGTTAGGTCAAATTTAAGGTGACTCGACGGTTGCCATTTTTTGTGTCAGAGTGACGTGTAAAATATCGCACCAATTCCTTCCATAATTTTAGCTATTTGTCATTTTTTCCGAATTTCGAGATCGCAGTTCTGTTGTCACGAGACTAAAGAATTCATGTACCAAATTTGACAAAGAAATTCAACGAAATAAAGACAGGGATTTTTTAGAGGAAAAACACTGCGCTCGAATGCGATATTTTCCTCTGAAAAAACCCTGTCTTTATTTCGTTGAATTTCTTCGTCAAAGGTACATAAATTCTTTGGTCTCATGACAAGAGAAGTGCGATCTCAGAATTCGAAAAAAATGACAAATGGCTAAAATTATGGAAGGAATTGGTGCGATATATCGCACGTCACTCTGACACAAAAAATGGCAACCGTCGAGTCACCTTAAGATAAGTTCACAATGAGCAAAAATCCGTGAATCGGTTTAAAAACCAGCAAATCGATTGAAAACCACGTAAATCAGTCGACAACCCCGTGAATCCATCGGATTACGTAAATCGAATCGGTGTCGATCGGTTCACGTTTCAATTTTCGATCGAATCGACACCGGTTTTTTATCATTTGTCGAGCGAATCGGTGTCGATTGGTTCACGTCGATCGATCCACGTTTATATTTTTCGATCGATTCACGTCGATCGAGTTCACACCCTCCAACACAATTTTCCAATCGGCGATAAAGATCTTGTTGTTGCGGGGACGTTGGTTTTAAGTATATTCCCTCATAGAAAGAGTCTGATAAAAAAGAGCCCCTATCTGCACGGAGAAAAAAACTTCGTGCGTGGGACGCGAATATCAGGTGATACGGATCTCTGAAGTTTTCGAATTGAGCATCTGAGCACTTCAGGTCTAGGTGTCGAGGTTCGGATCACACATCTGAAACTTCAGTTCTTACATATGAAGTACTTCAGATGTGAGAATCGAAGTTTTTTGGATGTGAAAACCGAAGTATGTAAGAACTAAAGTTTCAGATGTGTGATCCAAACCTCAGCAGCATGGACCTAAAGTGTTCAGATGCTCAATCCGAAAACTTCAGAGATCCATATGACCTAAACTTCGGGTCCCACGCACGAAGTTTTTTTTTCAGTGTGGCAGGGAGGGGAGGAAAGCGGGATTTTCGTTCCCATGCAGCCTGAAAAAAACCCTGCGATATGACTTTCAATTGAAAGTTTTAGCTTCACCGGAAAAAGCGTCTCTTGGATCCAGAGTGCACGATCTTAAAAAATTAGACAAGAAAAAATACTCTCGATTCCGCTTATAATAAGGGGCTTGGCTCTCGACTTACGCGATTCGATCGAATCGAGGGTATTTTTTCTTGTCTAAAAGTGTCTAGAATCGGGATCCAAGAGACTTGTTTTTCTAGTGTTGAGTTCAAAGCTTGTTTTTTCAAACGAGTGTAGTAAAGATAACATTCTTTACAATTAAAAACTGTCGGTATTTAAAAGTTCCTCGGTTGAAAAAACAAGTTGAGGCCTTTTCCGCATGGGCACAGTTTGCGGAGTATTTGAGCGAATTATTTCGAGGAACTGGAGTTTCGCGGAATCAGTTATAACTGAAGTATAGTACGTCCGGGAACAAGTAGGCCCAAAAGTTCTGTGAATTGCGCTCGGGCGGACAAGAGATTATATGAGTTAATTCCATACTATTCCTAGAGACACAGTATCGTCAGTTGATATGTTACTGTACCTCTTAAATTTTTTGACAGGGGCCAACAAAATTTGTTTTTTTTTTACCGAGGAACTATGAAATATTATCATTTTGTATTGGTGAAAAAAGTAAACTTGGTAATGCTGAAGAATCTATTATTAAGGGTTTTGTTGCGAACACCCTGTCTATCGATCCTTTTCTATAGGTTCAATTGGCAGATCAACCGATATATCGCAAAGTACGCCATGCCACTGTGCTTAATGCTTAATTTGCGTCGAGAGATGCCTTGATTCACCCTTCATTATCTATATTTCCCCATTTGAAGCAATGTATGCACTCACGCTTCATAAAGAATGGGTCGGATCCACTTATAAGGACTGTGAAACATTTGATGCCGATCTATGAATAGAGATATAGTCCATTTTAGTATGAACAAATATTACATACGAAGAGCATGTACTCTGAGTCCATACCGTTAGGACCCAGCGTGTGTACCGTATGGACCCGATGTCTATGCCGTATGGACCCAGTGTCCATACCGTATGAACAGTAAGTTCATACGCATGCTTTTCCATACACGCCATATTTACGGCACATCTCTGCTCTAGTCGTGAAAGCCAGACCGCATGTGCGAACAGTTCATACCTTAGATTTTCCAAGCAGTATGGACTCTCACCACATAACCATTTTTTTCAGTGTAGTTAAGAATAGATCATTAAGGTATTCGTTGCGGACACCAGCTGTTTATCGATCCTTTTCCATAAAATGAAATGGCAGATCAATCGATATATCGCAAAGCACGCCACGCTTGCCACTGTGCTAAATACTTACGTTGCGTCGAGAGAGGCTTTGATGCTCCCTTCCTTTTGGAGTACAAAATTGCCAAAACTGATTGTAAAGACATCTCAGAGCATGCGCCACAATTTCCCTGAAAAACAACGATGAAACATTGGTCAGCAGGTCAGAGGACGTGCCCTCGATGAAAATACGGTAATGTGGGAATAAGGGGCGAGTGCCGTAACTACATTTCAATGTTACCAAATCACATTTTTAAAGGAGAATCTTAGGTATCCCTAACTAAAAATATCACTGATTTTTCATATGATCGCATGAAAAATTCAGACAAATTCTGGACAAACCTTGTGCATGTACAATCTTGCAAACAATTACACATTTTGAATCAATTTTGCAATTTTTGAGTGGGGTAGCGTTCTTTCGTACGGGAAGCAACGAATCATCGACACCAACAGATTGTACGTGACTTCTTTTTTCCTGTGACGTTAGAAAAATAGGTCAGTTGCGCTGGTCGTAAAATTATGTTTTGATGCTTGATTCTTGTAGATTAGTAAAAAATAATATGATCTGTCCAAATCGCAACTTTCTACGTTCAATATTAACCGAGATAGCGCCCTTTGAAGAGACGGGTTTTTGACGTCATCCACCGCGGTAGTGCACGATATGGTATGTACTACCGCGGCGAATTATGTCATGAATCGAATTTTTCAAGGCGCGATATCTCAGTTAATATTCAACGTAGAAAGTAGTTGTTCGGTCAGATCTTCTTATTTTTACCTAATCTACAAGAGTCAAGCATCAAAACACGATTTTTGGACCAGAGCGTTTGACCAATTGAGATCCAAGGTTAGTTCGTCCACATTTAAATACAAATGACATGACTTTTTGGATGAGAATGTAACATTTTTCGGAAGAATGAGGGTTTCATTTTTTTTTTTTTTTTTTTTTTTTTTTTTTTTGTTTGTTTGGTCCAATGGAGAAAAATGTATAATTTTTAGGGAAAATTCACTAAAACTTTCTACACCTCTTTGGTGCAACAGGTCTTAATTATCTTTCAAGAAAATTCCACTTTGTCATACCTGAACCGGTTTTGATTTTCCTCAGCTAAAGTCTGGTAGATTTTTCATGTGTGCGATAACTTCGAGACGGCGCTTTGAGCTACTATATTCCGCCACGGAGGTTATGTACAGTATCATATGGAATTGAAGGCATCCCAACGCATCATAAGTGATGGAATCTCTCAAAAACACGGCATACTCAAGAATAGTTCTGCGTAAATCGAGTCATTTTTTCCTCTAATGAAATTCAAAAATTATGCTAAACGTTTTTAAATATGAATGCTAGGAATTGGTGAGTTTATGGACTACCGCAATCTTTTTGTGCCGTAGTATCTTGATTTATTTTGCGAGGAAATTTCCGTAATCTTATAGGATACCTGTCATTCTTAATATGTTGGAGCGCCTTAAGTTTCGTATGATACTGTGCATTGCGCAACACCTGTTGTGAAATAGTTGTTTGAGGCGTTGCGCGCCGTAGCACGCTGCGGCGGGCAGCCACCTTGATAAGCGCATTGGCGCCTACAAACCTAAAGGAATACTTCAAGCATTGCGCAGTGCGTGAAGTATCCATTTAGGTTTGTAGGCGCCAGTGCGCGTCTCGCGCCGGCAGGACGCCGCTTCCCTCTATCATCAGTCAGCGCACAGTGGATCGACTCACTTAGAGAGGTCGGACATGAAATTTTAGACAAACACTGCAAATTTTGATATTTATTCCTTCACATTTAAATTTTAAGAGGTGTTTATGGGAGAACATTTCACGGGAAAACCAATGAAACAACTTTTAGAAGCTCAAAGTGTTGGATAAACGAAGTCAGAAGCGTTTAAAGTCTCCAAATTTTATCCGACCTCTCCTATTGACTCGATCCACCGTTTTTGTGCTCAAATTTCCTCCTCAAAGACGAAGCAAAAACATCAATTTTTTTTTAATTGATTTATTATTTAATTATAATATATTATTCATTCAGGTTCAATTCTGATATTGAACGTAGGATGAATTTTAACGTCTTCTCTTTGCTAAAAATTCAATGATCGTACGACTGATAAGGTCGCCGTTCCTTTTTTGTCATGTAAAGTAATTTGGTAAGTCTTTTGGTACTCGGAAACTTTTTACATCAGGATTTCGCTTTAAAGTGCAAAAACGACGCACAGTGAATCAAGTCAATGAGAGAGGTCGGACATAATTTTTTTGTTAGAACTGCTTTCCACGTTTACTTTGTCAACCCTTAAATTTTTATGGGTGCCCGTGGAGGAAAATTTCACGGGAAAACCAAAAAAACAACTTTTAGAACCTCAAAGTGTTGGATAAACGAAGTCAGAAGCGTTTAAAGTCTCCAAATTTTGTCCGACCTCTCCTATTGACTCGATCCACCGTGCGGCGGGACGCAAATTTGCACTAGTTTTTTAAATTAAACTCGGATGAAAGCAAGCGTGTCGCTACCGCGGTGTATGACGTCAAAAACCCGACTTTTCAAAGGGAGTTATCTCGGTTAATATTGAACGTAGAATGTTGCGGTTTGGATAGATTTGATTATTTTTGGCTAATCTACCAGAATCAAGCATCAAAACACGATTCTATGACTAGCGCAAATGACCCATGGAGATGTTGCATGTGTGAGGGATTTGCGATTTGACCATTGATTCTTATGTAAAAGTTTGCGAGAAACACGATGGTGCCACTGGTTTTTTCTGAAATCATCTCCCTAGTTCAAAAAAGCTCTCAAAGTTGAGACCGAAATGGAGGGGATATCCCACGTTATTCTGAGAGTCCACCTCTACATCAAAACAAACTCTCCATGCGAAGATAGGGAGCAAATACGTTAGCAGGGTTGCCGTATTTTCAGTTTTGGAGTCCCCAAATAAAGTGGCAACCCTGCTAATGTATTTGCTCCCTATCTTTGCATGAGCCTGTCTTGATGTAGAGGTGGACTCTCAGGATAGCGTGGGATATCCCCTCCATTTTGGCCTCAACTTGAGAACTTTTTTTGAGCTTGGGAGTTGATTTCAGAGAAAACCAGTGGCACCATTGTGTTTCTCACAAACTTTTACATGAAAATCAACAGTCAAATCGCAAATTCCTCACACATGCAACATCTCCATGATCAAGACTGACCTGGTGTTGGACAGGAGGGTAATAACTTTCATCGCTCCAGCTGAAGTAAGAAGGAGGAGGCCCAGAGCTTGAACCAGAACTGCTGCCAACCATTCGAGGAGCTAGTCCTTGATCGTCGGATTCAGGTTTTTTAGACGACCGTTTGGCTTTGGTATTTTCTCTGCTCCGAGCTTTTCTTGGGGAGTTTCTTCCTTTCGACTTGCTTTTATCAGCCTCGCTTTCATCAGTTTCGCTTTCATCAGTTTCGCTTTCCTCTTTTCTTTTCTTTACGAGATCCTTGAGTTTTTCGATATTGAAACCTTCATTGATTCTCCCGGGTTTCATCAAGTATTTCTCGGCAAACTCTTCTTCTGCAACATTCGGTATGAGAGCGATTTTCTCAGTCAAAAAACCCCAGTATACTGCCATGCTACGACATTCGATTGTTGCCAAATTTCCTTGGATAACGGTGGCTTCACGATAATTGGAATAGTTTTGTCGCCGTAACAGACAATACAGTTTTCGGTATATTTTAAGTGGAATTGATAATCACTCGAATTTTTTCGCATTAATCTTCAATGGGTTACGTATTATAACGCTTTGTAATGATTTATTGCTCTACTTCTCAATTAATATTATGTAAATTCCGAAAATGTGTCTGTTACGTTGACTATTTACCGGAAGAAACAGCACATTTTCGGAATTCACATAATATTAATTGAGAAGTAGAGCGATAAATCATTAGAAATCGTTACAATACGCAACCCTTTGAAGATTAATGCGAAAAAATTCGAGTGATCATCATTTCTACTGAAAATATGACCGGAAAATGTGTTGTCTGTTACGGCGACAAAACTATTCCAGTTATTGTGAAACCACTCATAAAATATTTCTTCTGGAGGGAAGTTATGCATATTTTTCCTTGAAATTTTCTGATATTTTCGATAAAAAATCGAACAATTTTGTCCAAATAAAATTGGAAGGAAAATGAGACTACTCGTTCCAAATTGTGCAATGTCCATTTTGGTCGAAATTGAGTTAGGAGTTGATTCTTGATCAGCCAATAGAGGAGAATCGGAAAATAATTTAATTGTGTGCCAAAATAGTCAAAATTCTTTTTAATAAGCGGTATGAAAAAGGTAGGTCGCGGCAGATCGCAGCAAACTCAACAACCCTGAATGCATTGCGCTAAAGCTGAGGACATACATTGGTTACGCCCTTATGTCAGCCAAGCGACGATTTGAAGCTGTGGTAAAGAATCGATTATTAAGGTGTTCGTTGCGCACACCCTGTCATCGATCCTTTTCCGTAGGTTTAAATGGCAGATCAATCGCTAATCGCAAAGCACTCCACACCACTGCGCAAAACTAGTTAATTTATTTTACCCAGTTTTTTCCTCGGTTAAATTGAGGGGCTTGGAGGACACAGGCGTATACAGTTTTTGAAAACATAGAGATATTCATGAACTCGACTGAAACTAGTTTGAAAGTATATTCTGTGAACAATTCACAACTAAAATCCATCTTTAATGTATCGAAAAGTGAGTTTAAACTTCCTTTCCGCCATAAGGCTCCATGTAATTTTCAAGCTTTAAACACGCATTTCTTGGAAATAGCAAAAAACTGTACTTGTGTGCCTTGTCCTTGAAGCTCCTCAATCAACCAAAGTTTATACGTTGAAAAACATCAAATTTGTGAGAACTATAGGGAGCCACTAGGGTCAACCCCGGATCTAAAAGTTAATGCGCTATCCGCTTGGAAGTCACTAACTGTGAATAAAAGTGAAGATACCTTGGACTACATTAGGTCAGCAGGACACTTACTGAGAGATCTGGGAGTGACCTACGGTTGTGGTCGAGTTAACCAAAAATTTGGATTGATCGACCAGATTTTATTATAACTTTCGTACATGTGAGCCCCATTATTAGGGCTATGGCACAGGTCAAAAAATACTATACAATAATTAAAAATATAAATTACAACTGTTACATTTGGTGGTGTTTAATAGAACGTTACATAACAGCTGAATTTAGAAATTTGTTCAAATTATAAAATGCCTTCCTTAAAAGTAGATCTCGAAGTAAATTGAAAAATGTCTGTATATCACCGTCGCGGAGTTTCTCTTTCCAGATCGCACTGTTTGAACTGAACAAAAGCAAACTAACCCAGACTAACCAACTGGATGCAAATATTCGTACTCTTTGGATGTCCATGTTACATACACGAAAAATTGAAGGCGTACTAAGATTAAGCCGAGTTCACAGTAACAGCGGCAATTGTAAAGTGCCTACAACAAGGCCTAGATGCAACTATCCACACTCTTAGGATACTCTTGGGATAAGTTTCATACACAAACAATTGGACCGAGTTTAACAGAAAGGAACCAAGCCACATCAGCTACTGCCAAATTTAACTGGGCAATTGAATTGTTTACGAGAGACCGTTTGTGCGGATTCCTTTGAAATTTTTAAAGAATTTGCTTCAAACTATGAAAATTTTTCACTGAACTTTGCACGAAAATCCGCGCAATCGTTTTCATATTAAAAATTAAATTGCCCAATTAAATATGGCAATATCTGATGAGGCTTGGTTCTTTTCTGTTTAACGCGGTCCAATTGATGGCGCATCAAGCTTCAGATACGTTCACTGTAGCAAAGAGGGCGCACTGTTAAATACAACACCAGCCGGCCGATTATTGAAATTTTGTGTTCGACGAAGGTGAAATGGCGGATTATGATTCGTCGGCAATGTCTTATCGCTGTCTTACATGTTGTGCATAGTTGGGTAGAATTGACGACATGTTATCAGAAACTTAAGAGGTGCCCTTAGTTTGACAATGATTCCACTTAACATGCTGACCAATCACACATTGTTGACAGCATGAAAACCAAATCGTCACTTTCCGGCCAAAGTATCACAAGCGCCATACGACGTTTCAAAATTTCCGCCGCCATTTCATTTTTTTTACGGAGAAATTGTTCGTTAAATTATTTGAAAATATCATTGAATTTTATCGGCAGCACAAACAAAATTCAGTGAAATTTTCGAACAGCTTTGTGGAGCAATTTCACTGTTAAAAAATCAAATAGCGGCGGTAATTTTTAAACATCGCATGACGCTTGTAACACTTTAGCCGGGAAGTGACAAATGTCAGGTTGGCAAGAGGGAATTTCGTTTTTTTGTAACAGAGGTAGACAATAAGGCAAAAACTCAATTAAATTCACTCACGGAAATTCGACTAGAAGCGCGATATTTTCAGAAGTGAGGGCAAACACGATTTTGCTTACTTACGTGTCAAATCGGCAAATTCGGTAATTCCAAATGCTTTATTCGGGGAGCCATCTCTTTTAGTTCCTTGTTCACGGTTCCATTGGTCAATTATTTCTAAATTTGTCTGGAAAATTTTAAGCCTCTTCAATTTTTCGTCTGTACTCCCATAATTCTTATTGAAATCAACCATGAATTTTTTGAATTTTTCCTCGGCCTGAAATTTAAAGTGGAGAAATGTATTCACGCAAAGGCAACTAAACGCTGTATGAATTTCACGCAAAGGCAATTAAAAACAAGCAGTGAACTCCAACACAATGTGTTGATAAGGCGCGTCATTAACTCACACATATCAACTCCTTTAGTTGTCATTTACAGAGATTTCAAAACAGGCAAGTAGCACAACAAGCACGGCCGGATTTACCAATAGGCTACATAGGCTGTAGCCTAGGGCGCAACATTCTGAAGGGCGCAAAATCTTTGAGAATTTTTTTTTTTTTTTAATTTAGCGAGTCTTTTGTTACTTTCCATTTTCCAAAACCAACTTGCAAACGTAAACGTACCTCAAAACTGTTTAAAATTGTGTTTTTTGAAAGGTGAATTCGAACATTTTCTTGATACCTAACATCCTCCTTCTGATCTGGAAGGGAGGGGCTCCTGGGGGACACTCCCCCCCCACGAGAGCGCCTACTTTTAAGGGCGCCACCCTAAGTTTAGCCTAGAGCGCTAAAAATGTAAATCCGGCCCTGACAACAAGAGAATTCATACGATCCAACTCTTCGACGACGCACTTTGACGAGACCGTGTATTGTGAATGTAGAAAGCCATTCGAACGAGTTTAAGTTTTTTGATCTGCCCCCAGCAATATCTTATCAGATTCTTGAAAAAAAGTGCTACGGAATAATTTAAGCGAAGAAAGGAAAAATTCTGTCGAACTCCTGAAAGGTACCTACAATAGATTTAAAGGTATTTTTGGGGCTAAAATATCCAAATCACCGGTACCTATTTTAAATCCCGATATATTATTGAAAAGAAATTGACTCGATATAAATGTAATTGCATTAAATATGTCTTGATTTTGTTATTTTAAACGTATTTTAATGCAAAGAAGTTCAACCATGTCCATGCTTTATTCATTTATGAATTGAAAGTAAGCAATCTACATCCCGAAAATCTACCGATTTGCCGTAAAAAATTGCAGAAACTTGATATACCAGGTCGATGCACTCACTCGTTGAATTTACCAACAGATTTCGTGGGTGCAAATATATAAAAATCAATATGCTATAGTCATTTTGGGTGCATTTATTTTTCATGAAACAATAATAATTTCAAACCCGAAAAACCATCAATTTTCCGTATAAAATCGAAAAAATCGAGATGTGTCGACTCCCTGACGTGAAAATTAGATTCTACGTGTAAAAATACTTACACATGGATATGCTGAACAGAAACCATGTGTGGACACAGTTAGGATACATAGCCCCAGAATACTTTTAAAGCGCCTTTACTTTCCAGAATCTTGACGGAATTTTTTTTTTGCTTAAACGACTCAAGAGACACTGTAGTTAAAAAATATAAAAAATTTTCGATTTTGACACAAAAAAAATGTTCGTTCAGGCACACCATGTATTGTATGGTGTATTGCGCTGGTATTCAATCCTTGCCTTCAGATCAAAATTCTTACAAGGAAGCCCCTTGCAAGAGGCGAATTTTTTGTAATTTCTCCCAATTTTTTCTCCGTTATATAGTTGAATTGCTTGCCAAATTCTGAGGTCAATTATATTTAATTGTAATTTATACATTTCTTTTTTCCTCTTCATTTTATTTTTTGTTTGGAGAAGTTTCGTTGATTTCTTTGGATTTCGAATACTGTAACTTCTTTTCTATTCGGCCGATTTTTATGAATGAGACCTCTTTCAATTCGTCTTTGAACGGAGAGTAAGGAAAAAATTCCTAGGTACTCGCGAAACAATTTTTTCGAAAATTTGATGGATCCCAGCGTGACGGTGAAATGGGTAATCGAGTGAAAGTAATTAGGTCTGACTGTGACGAGGACCGCGAGGGTCGCCTTTTGTTCTTCAGCTGGGAAGCGACGCGGCGAACCGAGCCAGGACCGGGACACTACCTGGGTTTTGTGCCTGCCTGTGCACTGTTTTGGCCTGATAAGGGAGTGAATTTCTGTATAGGCCACGATTAGCACATGGGCTAATGAGTCTCGAGGCTCATCACAGATTGCACTTACCACTATCCTGCTAGCCCCGGCTATCAGAGCAAGGAGTACCAAATTTTGAAAATCATAACAGGGTTGTGGAGATCTGTCAAAGCAACGTTTTAAACAAAACGAAGAAGTGAAATTCTCATTCAACGAGTGCCGACCTGATCAGCCATCCTCGAATCAGTTCGCTTGCTTCTGCTTATATATGCATATTTTAAATCAGCGCGCCCCACTCTTAGGCTTTTTTTAAAAAAACCAAGTAACGTAGACTGTTGGTATTCACTGCACATAAACTAATGAGCCCCAGAATGAGAAACTACTTTAAATAATAATTATTGATGGATAAATAAACTTTTTACACGCTTTGGAAAATCTCAGAAGTTCGCGGTAGTCACTTTTCGGTAAGGAACTAAGGGACTCGGTTATTGTATCGAGTGGGGGGTCGAAACGATCGCAAAGGCGGTATACTACGTATACGCGCCAAAAAAAACATTTCTAGGGCAGATTGCGTAAAGCTCTAATGGCTCAAGGGTCGCTCGTGCACGCTAATGGTGTAGGTACGTAACGAGAATCATACTACAAATGGGTTCCTAGTATCATGAGCCGCAGACAGCAATTAATGGTTTAGTTTTTCGAAAATCTTTTTTACACGAAATCCTTTCCATTAATCACATTCTTTCACCTCTTCTAGACTGAATTTACGAAAAGCTCTAATTACGATTGTGCGTCAGTAACGCTCGGTGACGCGATGAGATCCAACAGCGAGACGTTATCTCCTTATTTGAAGCTGTGGTAAAGAATCGATTATCATGATGTTCGTTGCGATCACCCTGATTGTCGATACCCTTCTCCATAAGTTTAAATGTCAGACCAATCTATATATTGCAAAGCATGCCATGCCACTAATGAGATCAGTTTGCAATTAACAGTGGGTTTCGTTCATGTCAGTGTATGCAAAACGAAATCTAGCGAAATAGCACAGGAAATGGTAACCGGATACAAGCAGAAATTTAAAAAAAATTACCGCATATTATAAATTACTCTTGAATCAAAATCCAACAGAGAAGATGCTTCTATCAAGAAGAAAATCTTTGAATAGAAGCGTGAACAAGGTAATAAAATAGTGCTGGGTCCACATTATTTTCCAAGGAAATCAGGGCGATAAAGTTGAACAATTTCAATTAGAGTCAAAATTGCGAGCTCTCAAGAGTTCCAGCACAAAACTGAAGGGGATGAGACCTCAAAATGTTGACTGTAATTGATATTTTTTACCTTTTTGGCCTTGTTTTCCCCGCAAAATGGCGTGGACCCAGCGCTATTTTACCACCCTGCTACATTCAGTTCGGGTCACATTTCTTGGTCTTTTCTTTCTCGTAAGCCTAAGTGGACTACACTTCGCAGTTAGAAGAAACGACACTTTTTGGCTCATTTAACACACAACGTATGTGTCATTAGTTTCTCTACATCGGTAAATCAGGATTGCGCGAAAGGTCTATGAAAATATACGAGGATTGCGCGAATAGAAAACCTTTACATCTGATACGGGAATTCGCGAATTTAAAATGAAGTTAATTTGAGGTAAAAGTTTGGCAAAGGAGGAAACCGTTGGAAAATAATCGTATTTTTGTGTTAACGCTAGTTAAGGTTAGTTTGTTGACAGATCGTCGATGCTTTACCCTCTGATGATGAATAAAGTGAGAAGATTAAAAAATAGTCGTGGGTGTAAAGAACTTTCCTAACTTTTCTCGGAAAAAATATTTAATCGGGAGAAACGAGGCAACGTTGGAATGCTCGTCTGGCGTTGAAAAAAAACATACGCCTTGTAAGCTCTACTATTCGATGCCACGATTCTTCTAAAGCGAGTTCGAATAATCGCGCCAGACACAGTGCGGCGGGCGGCCAGCACTAAACGTATATTAGCGCCTGCAAGACATTAAGAATACTTCACGCATTGCGCCAAACAGTGCGGCCGGCGTAACGCCCGCCCATATTAGCGCCTACAAGACTGCATGGATACTTCTCGCATTGCGTCAAACGCAGTGCAGTCGGTCAGTTAGCGTGAAACGCATATTAGCGCATACTAGACTATAAGCGACTGCGTGCCATCATTCTTGACTTTCTGCTCCACTTATTACCATAATTAAAAGAAAAAAGTTTGTTCATTGTAATGATTCAGAAACTCGGATAGTATTTAATTTTTCTTTGGTTACATTAAAAGGAAATAGACCGAACGTAAATATTACGTTGAAATTTTCGATACTTTTATTTGAGATCATTCAGGTAAATTCGCGGAAACTTTTCAGAAAAACTGTGTGTGGCTTTTTAAAAACATTTATTAAAAATAAAACATAAAAAGTGGTGCATAACGTTGCAATCAGAGATAAATATACGCTTTCTTTCGGGTGCATCCGTTGGATTTTGAATCAATTCATCTCTTTAAAAACTTGAACATGGTTGTTCTGTGATTTTTCACGTGTAGTTTTTTTTCCAGTGGTATGTGGCCGCGTAGCGGCCACAGACATGTTCACTTTTTACATGTCTATGAAAGCTCTCTGGGCCATTCGTGCTGAGAGGGCTATCCATCGAAGAGAGACATGCCCGTAAGTGAGGAGGGAATGAACAGTCTTTTGCGATATAGTTATCTACCACAAGTTACCAAGGTTGCCAGATTAACGCTTCCTCGTTGAATATTGAATATTCGCGCAAACATGTGAGTTTTCAGTACTAGAAAAATTCGCGCAATCCTATACATTTCCAAAGGGGTAAAAAAGGGGGAATTCGCGCAATCTTATCGCAACTTTCTGCATAAATGAGAGCTTTTCTCGGGTGAACCACATTAATTAGTAGTTCCTAATTCCAGAATGGAGTCCATATCTGCTTGATTCAAGAAGACTTCCTCTTAGCAGCGAATTAGATAGTTTTATCCTTGAGAATCAGCCTTAAAGCGATGTATATGAATTAACAAAAAAATGTTATTTGTAATGGAGGTGAGATCATACAAATGACACCATCTGCATTTTTGCCATTAAACAAAATGTTAATTTTGCACCCTTAAATCTTGTTCAAGGGTTGACTTCCCGACTTCTCATCGTGCGGTCCGTCTCCTTTTTAAAATTTCAAAGATAAAACGTGTTGCGCAGCATTTAACCCATCATTAACTTGTGTTACTTAGGTCCAGTGCAGCAGTATGGTTCTTGAAATCGACAGACAAAGTCATAAACGAAGGAGATAAAAAGAAAATGGAGGGATTCTAGTAGAGGAAGAAAGTGTTTGCAATGGACAAAGGAAGGCTGCCTGGAGTAATAGACTAGCTGAGAGCAACCTACCAGAGATCTTACAGTTAGTCCGCCATAATCTTTCATAGTCTGTAACAACCGCACCTGTTTCAACCAATAGGATCGCTGATGCCTTTCCCCGGTGTCTTTTTTGTCTATAGCTTTGTCTAACTATTTTAAAAATTCGCTCATTGAAGTTGCGGTGTGGTCTCATTACAGATGGTACGTGGAACACTGATTGATTTTTTGGAACGGAAATAAGTAAGAATTGTGAAAGAAATAATTTTCACATTATTTCGAATAACGTGACCTCTAGCAGGTAACCTTCCTTAAAAATGATTGGTTCAAAGTGTGGGGAAAAAACTCCAGAGCGATGAATGTGCAAAATGGAGGAATAATGGCTTCAAAGATTTTAGGAGAAAGAATTTAAAATTGTATAAAATTGTAAAAAAACCCAGGAGGGGCTGAAGGGACATTTGGACCGCATTAAGTAGAGAGGAATCAAGTCACATTAGCGATTGCCAAATTCAACGGGGCAATTTAATTGATCACATGAAAACGGTTGTGCGGATTTTAGTAGATTTCAGCATAGTACGAAGCAAATTCCTCAACACTTTCAAAGGAGTCCGCACAAACATTTTGTGGAAAAAATTAAATTGCCCCGTTAAAGTTGGCAATAACTGATTTGGCTTGGTTTCTCTCTGCTAAACGCGGTCCAATTTCGCTTAAAAATCGTAAAAAAAAATCGTTAAAAAAAAAAATAATAAAAAAATAAGTAAATAATAAAAAATAAATCGTTAAAAAAAATCGTTTGAGCCACGCAGATGTGGACTCATTTTGCAATTAGGAACCATAAATTATTTTGGCTCACCGACAAGAGTTTTCATTTACGTAGGGAAACTATTAACACATACGTAGTGTGTGAAATGAACCAAAAATTGTAGATCCTCGTCTCAAACTGTGTGGTCCATTTATGCTCCTACTCAGACGAAATTCTTCTTAATATGAATCGCATTCAGCAAAAAGGAGCCAGCACGATTTAAATATTACTTTTTCATAATCACCTAAAAAATCTCTCAGAATAGCAAATCGACGGTGTAAGTCGGCAATCACATGACTCGGTTTGCGACGTCGCAGACTTCCTGTCATATACTTTATTTTTTAAACGAAAAACAACTCAACGGCAATTCGTTAAAACTGCCGTGATTTTTTTTTCTCTGTGCGAAGAAAATTCTGAATAACTTCAAGAAATGATAGCAAGTTGTTCTCCATTAAAAAAATAACATAGAGGCGGAGATTTTCAGACACCGCAAACGAGATACGTGATCGCGGGCTTACACCGTCGAAATATTTTTGCTTCCCCTCAGAAAATTGTTAATTTTAAAGGAAAATAAAAGTGTATAATTTTTAAAAATATACGTATTACTTTTTTTTTAAAAGAAGAGAAGAAGTTGCACGATTTTGAAAACACAGTAATCGCGCTGGTTGCTTCTTGGTGCTTTCTGTCTGATGTTGATTAAAGAGGAATATGATTAATGTAAGAAGATATTAGCCAAGGTGTTATGCCAGGGTGTTATGCCAGGGTGTCAATGTAGACTTCAGCGAACCAAGCTTTATGCCGATATTCACACAGCGGTAATTTATTGATAATTGTGACCAGCGTAATGTTTTTTAAAGTTTTTATAGTTTTGTGTTTTTGACCTTTCTTTGTAAGCTCTGATGATGGCCGCAAGCCGAAAAGCCTTAGCACATTTAAAATGTTTATTAAATAAATAAATCAGTGAAAACCCATAACACCTTGGCTAATATCCTCTTACATTAATCATACTTCAAATGGTGTTATTAAGCATAATGAACGATTTCATAAATACGAGAGGAATAATTCATGATGTGCGGCAAATGTCAGAACTTGTCTGCTCGTATGAAGTCGCTTTTTTCTTGGGCCGATTCAATAGATTTTGGTTGTTTTGCATACATTTAAATTTGGCAACAGCTGATGCGGCTTGGTTTGTTTCTACTGACCGCAGTCCACTTGAGGGGAGCCAGCCACTTGAAAATTGAAAAAAAAAATTTTTTTTTTTTTATTTTCTGGCTAATCTTAATCTCCTACTACTCACGTTTAATTTCAGACCAAGTTTTACTTGATCTGATGAGTAGTAGTGAAGTTACGCGCGGTTTAGTGAGGGAAGGTTTACTAAATACACTACCAATTACACTAAAACTGATTTTGCTGTTTTTTTTAAATTCCTCATTTCCCGAAAACCACATTTTTCAGCACTCATGTACCTTTTTCTCAGCACTCATGTACCTTTTTCTCAGGATCTACTGAACCGATTTTCAAAAACTTTGTTTTGTTCTAATCCTTGCACTCTCCTGTACATTTTAACACGAGCTTTTCCAAAATTTCGAGCTGGATTTTTATTAATTTGATTTTAAATGTCCAATTTCTTTGATTTCTAACAAAAAATTTCAAAAATTCACCAAAATTTCAAATTTTTAAATTTTAAAAAAAGCTCGCGTTAAAATGTTCAGGAGGGTTCAAAGTTCAAAACAAAAAAAAAGAAGTAATTTTTGTTCAGTAGATCCTAAGAAAAAGGTACAAACGTTAACATTGGGAAGATAGGGTGTCTGGCTCCCCTTTAAGAAGAAAAAATGAAAGGTTTAGGAGAAGGCGTCTTGAGAGTTAAAAAGTTCGTCGAGGACGATTTTTTACCATCGCGTCGGATGTCATTTTCCCCCACGTCCACCTGCACTTGAATATGCCTTGGTTGAGAGTCACCCCGATCCGCAGGGGACTATCACCCCCATGTTTCCGCCTTGGGCTCGCAGAGGGATCCCCTCTTGAAGGGCTCGGAGACCGGCCCGGGCGACCGGAAAAAGAGGGATTCCGCCCCGAAAAAGGGGAACGCGGCGAAGTTTGCCTGTCCCAGCGATTCGGGGACGACACATGATTCTCGATCTCACCGAAAATCACAAGAAAAACGACTGAAAAACCCAGTAATTTAACCACGTTAAGCGGCATCGCGTCGCGACTTTTGGAAAGAGGCCAGCTGACTGTCAACGGGTCACGGCTAAAGGAAACTCAAAAGCTGTAGCAACATCAGAACATTATATAGTGGGGAGAGAGAGAAAAAGAGAATTGAGCTTTCTCTTGTGAACTCACGATGAGAGCTGGATAAATGGATCGTATTCAGTGGCGTGGCGTGAATTGCGATGTAACGATTGTTTTGTTTTGTCATTTAAACGTATGGTAAAGAATCGATTATTAAGGTGTTCGCTGCGAACACCCTGTTTATCGATCCTTTTCCATATGTTTAAATGGCAAATCAATCGATATATCGCAAAGCACGCCACGCCACTGATCGTATTCACTATTTTATCAACCAGGCTTACCAGGGTACTGCCGCACTGAGGGATATAAAGCCGTATGACCCTTTAGGCGTTGCCAAATTTCCTTTTTCAAAATATGGATTTGCCGGGCAAATTGTGAATATTTTCTTCTACTTTTTAGACAAAATTGTTCGCTTTCAAATCTAAAATTTTGAGGAATAACAATGCATAACTTCCCTCCGGAAGAAAAATTTTATCCGAGGAAAAGCAGCTCTCGAATTTTCACACGGCGCTTTTCCGTAGCATGTCAGTTTTGCTGAGGTAGTATCAATATCGATAGGTTCAGCATGTAAACATAGCCTCAAAAGTCAGTCGAGTAGTCGGGGGAACGGGTGCATGTGCGTGTTGATTTCCTTATTCTTATGAGTTCTACATGGCAAGTGAAATTGTTACGAATTTCCAATTTTTCAGCCTATTTTAGCGCAAATGATAAAAAGATTGAAATAATCGAGCTCCAAGCCAAAAATAAATTAAACAAATAATATTTCAAACTACATAGAGATGAGAAATACTAAAAAAAACTTACAGGAAACAAAACGAAAAATTGTAGCTCGATTATTTCAGTCATTTTATCACGTTCTATGAAAGCCAGCCAAATTGGCATTAAAATGTATTTAGCGCAAATTTTGTAACTTTGATCCTAAAAGTTTTGTCTGAGGTTATGTTTTATTGTTTTGAACCAAACGATACATCGAACTATTATCGAATACGATCCATTATTGTCTCCCCAAAACGAGGGAACATTTTTCCATTTCAAATTCGCTAGATATACTCACAGGAGAGCTTTGCTCACATGACACAGCGATGGCTGTAAAATATTTTGCTGCTTTCTCTGAGTAATCCTTAAAAAAATCCGTGAAATTTTCAGTGCAAAAAAATGTCTGGTAATTTCCGAGTAAAAATAGCAGAAATTAGAAATGTTGTAATTTAGTAACGTTCTTCCGTTCAGAAAAAGACGATTTATCTGTATTCAAGAAAATTGAAATGAGAGGCCGGAGAAAGAGTGGGGGAAGGGAGAGCGTAAAGCAACAATCTCTCCTCAATTGAAAATAACTGCTGAGTCAATGGACCTGTCGCAAACTTGAACTAGAGCAAAAAGAAGAGTTGTCTCTAAAAGAAAATGGTTCAAAAACCACAATGAGCGCATCGATAAGTCTGAAATCCACCCCTAACTTCACAATTTTCGTAAGAAATATGCGCTTTTTTACGCTTCCCGCTTCCAAGACGGTACGATGGCACATGTACATGTGATCATTTTGAGAGAGGAGTCGTTCCATCCAACCCTTCAACACTAGAGAATGCTACAAATTATTCCACATGGCCGACGCAAACCCGCCAAAACACAAGTGACGAGACGGGAGTTTATCAACCGGCGTGTTTATATTTAAATTGTCCTTGCGTTGATGAGGACCATAGACGCTATTAGTGGCGCATCATCATAGGGATTCTCCATAATATCGACTTGGATCCAAACAATAACATTGGCATAACATATTTCAATGCTACCAATGCGAAAAAACCTATATATATCGCTTCTCTGTGACGTGGCACTAATAGCGTCTATGCTGCTACTTCACGCGCAAAAGCGTCAGCCATGTTGAATATTATGTAGCATTCTAGTGCGCAAGGGTACTCGGTACTCCTCTTGCAAAATGTTCACCTGCGCTATGGTATTGTTTTTGAAGCGGGCGGCTTTAAAAAGCGCTAATTTCTCACGCAGACTGTGAAGTTAGGAGTGTATATTAGATTTTTCCAATGCGCTCATCGTGATTTTTGCGCCATTTTCTGTATGAGTATTATCTCTTGTTTATGCTCTGGTTGAAGATTGCAACGGGCCGTTGCAACTCTTCCAGTTGGCAGCTCTTAGAGCTGCATCTTAAGAATCATGTGATCCTAGTCTGTGTAAAATCTGATCTGTGATATTTTGATATGTATTAAGCCCTGCGAGGGCATGTAATAAAGTTTGTTTTCGTGCCTAAATCTTGTGTTGAGACAATGGGCCCCATTGTCTCTCGTAAATTTCGTCATCTCCCAAATGAAGAAATTGTATCTCTATTCGAACGTCGAAAAAACTACTTACGTGTTTTGTTCTTTTACGCGGAAACGATAGATCAACTGCTGCCCAAAATATAGCTGATTTTTTTCAATGTATAATCCGTGGAAAAATCTTCGAAATTTTCAATGAATCACCTAATAGTTTCCGTGTAAATTACACATTTCTATCGGATCTTTGGTAACAGTGAAATTAAGTTGGGTGCTTTCGTGGGGAAAATGACAATTCATCTGCAAATGGTAGAGTTTTATTCGCCGGCGCGATGACGCGAAGAGAAAATATTACGAGGAAATTTAAAGAGGAAAAATTGATTTCCTGGAATCTAACTTGAAAATGGCATATTGCAGACTATTCTTCCAGACAGACGGTACGCTAATGTACCTGTCGTTCTCCTTTCATGACGAAACTGGGAGATTTTAACTCTTATTCACGGTTCGTAGAACGTGCACTTTAAAAAAAAGTTACAGGCTGTATACACTAGGGTTGCCCTTATTTTTTACTTTTCGGGTATTTAGAGTGCAGAACCCTGCACGTGGTTCCATTTGAAGAGAAAATAAAGGTGGAGAAATAAAAATGGGTAAAAAAATTTTTAAAACGCACCTCAAAGAGCCTAAAGTTGCGAGCGTGGCGCACAAAGACGCGAATTCCTGTCAATTCGCGAATTTTCCCCCTTTAAAATGTCGCTACGGCATTGAAACTATCCTTCAGAGCTGAAAATTGCTCAGGTTTTCCATGGAGGTCTCCAAAAAAAATCGACTTTTTAAAATTTCAAGGTGAGCGTTGGGACGGTTTCGGAGGCTGGAAAAGGGGGAAATGGAACCAAAATCCCATGTAATATTTGCCGTTCTCTTGTTGAATCGATGTTGCCACGGGCGTCTATAGTCGTTGTACTACAGTAAAAGCTCGTTAAGACGAAAAATGAAGGGACCGAAACAAATTTCGTCATAAGCAGCTTTTCGTCTTAACCGTTCTCCGCTAAAGACGAAATTTTTCGGCATAAGCGGCAACTGCGCAACAAACTTAGGACATTCTTCAGTCAAAATGACTTGGACGATACAGTTTACAACAGCCTCCAAAATTTGGATGCAGTTTTAAAATACGTCCAGCTTTTAAAATCCACACAAACTAAAATTAAAGATTATTTTAAGTAAATGACTTTTTGAAAGATTATTATCTATCAGTTTTAAACTTTTAAATTTTATACAATACGAAATCCAAATTTTGAATTTTTTTAAAATCCGCAAATCGGTTTATCGTCACGCTTATCAAAAATAAAACATGAAAAGTGGTGCATAACAGTAGCGTGGCGTGCTTTGCGATATATCGAGTGTTATGCTATTTAAACCTATGGAAAAGGATCGATAAACAGGGTGTTCGCAGCGAACACCTTAATAATCGATTCTTTAACATAGGTTTCCATGACCGAACAATCGATACATCGCAATTCACGCCACGCCACTGGTGCATAACGTTGCAATCAGAGATAAAGGAGCCCAGTCATCTCCGCAGTGTGACGCGTCTTCAATCCGGCTGGCGGCAATATGCCTACACCCGTGGTCGAATAGTTATCTCAAATAACGTTTGCATTGTGTTTGGTGCAATGCGAGAAGTATTCATGCAGGCTTGTAGGCGCTACATAATATGTTCAGCATATCGATACTTCACTATTTTTAGACGTAGAATAAAATTGAAACTTAACGTCGGGAAGTCGATGTATCGATTCGTAATATCGATGTTACATTGAATATTTTCGGAACTGAAATTAGAATTTATCGATTAACGTCAGAGAAACGTGAACATCGGAAAAAATCGATGTAAGGAATCGACTTCCCGATGTAAAGTTTCAATTCTACGTTAAAAATAGTGAAGAATCGATATGCTGAACATGTCAGTACCAACAACGACTAAACGCCCGCGGCAACATTAATTCAACAAGAAAACTGCAAATATTAGATGGCTGCAACGTATTTTATCAATCACCAGGAAACGTCTTAGACGTTTCAAATTTATAATACTGCAATCTCGAAAAGGTATGGAGTTGGGTTGGGGGCCTTCAAGTTTAGCTATTTTTTAAAATTATTCCAGCGGTCCAACAGTATGGGATGCAAAAAATGTCATTATTTTGGAGGCAATGACATAGGACGCTCTCGTTCTGGAATTCTGAATATTTAACCACTCTTTCAGACTCAGAACATGTTACAAGTGGTAAAACTGAAACATGTTTTAGGGCGTATTTATTGGAGCTGAATCAAAAGATCTAAATGGCACAAATGTACAATAAGGTTCTGCCTATTTTAACAAATTAAACTGATGAATTTCACAACTAACAAAGGAAACTGCCAAAATATGCCAATTTATGTAAAAGCAAGCGTAAAACAAATTTGGGACTGGTGAATATTTTGAGGTTCCAACGGCCCTTCAGAATATCAGGAAACCCTCATTTTTGAAAAATTTTAATTTCTGAAAGACTTACACTCGATAAAAAGGAATCGAGAGACATTTTTTGATTAAGCAGCAAAATGTACGGGGGATTACCATTACCCACGAGGCCTTAGTTAAATCCGCCGACCTGAAAAGGGCCCTGCTGCATTTGTACTCTTCGATTAAAGGAACTCTTCGGTTCT